CTGACAGAACAAGGGCCACTGCCATCCATAGACTGTAATATGGCAAAAAATGTAACTCATCATTTGTGACTGTATTAACTGTTGGAGAAAATGAATTGGTACAAGACACTGGTCAGTTCAAATTATATCACTCTGAGGTTTCTTTCTTGGATCATTTCTTATTATAATTTTCTGTGAAGTGAGACAGACGGTCTAATTACAATAGACATCAGATTTAATTAGACAAAAGTATTTGTTTGAACAGACCATGCAATTTCCATTATATTTCTAAAATGTCTGAAGACTACGGATGAGTCAGTTTGCTTTTAAGTTGCGTGTAAGCAGTTTGGTTAAGAGCCACCTCCAGTTTTCTGTGTGTTTGTGTTAGGTCTACATGAGTCACACTTTCTGGCTTATTGGGCTCTTCCTGACACTTTAACAGGTCACTCTTTGTAAGCTAAATACATCTACTTTGCATGGGCTATAAACTGTATGTAGTGGCATACATTCCACACAGGAGAGAAGTGTGCATGATTTGTTGTCCTAACAGGTCTGCAGCAATAAATCTGTTGAACTGCTGAGCAAGTACGTTCTACTTTATTTTACTTCCATCACAAAGGTTATGATCTCGCACATTTGAAAAAAAGGAACAAAAATACACTTTTTACTAATATAAAAATACACTCTTTACTAAAAATGACTTTTTCCAGAAACTCGATTGATTGCAAAAAACAAACTGCTGTCACAAGTTACCTGTCTCTTCCCAGCCTGTTCCTTAGTTTCCCACAGTTCTCTAGTGGCACTCTATGGCACTCTGTGACACCCTATGGCACTCTGTGTACCAAAAACCCTCTTGGAGGGATTCCCTAAACCCAATTGGAAGTCAGCCATTTTACATTTTATGGTAATTTTTAGATAATTTACACACTCCATACTTCAACGAACTCCATGTGCATCAAACTTTACGTGGTTGATAAAAGTCCCAAGCCAAGGAAGGAATATTCAAGCCAAGTGGCCAATATTACAAGCCAATATTCACTCATAGTCATAGCAACAGGATGTGACTACTTTTATGGTGTGATGAAGCACTTCCTTCAGGTTGGCTATATCTACTTCAAAACTATATCAGAAAACCCTTATCACATTGATGTCTTGTTGTCATGTCATCCATGGCGTGTCCGCAAAGTTCCAAGCTTCGCCGTGAAACTGGAAGTTGTCACTGCTTCACTGGACAAGCTCAAATCTGTACCAAAATTTACATGCTTGATAACAGTCCCACCCCGAACACATCTACATGCCAATAGTCAGTTATAGCAGAGACGTTTTATAGAGCCGACACACCACTCAATCACACCCTCAGTACAACTCTATGGGGAAAGCCCATAACGGCAAAGATGGCAGTTATCTCGCCCCTCCCACAAGAAAGCCAATCGTCTGCTTTTAACAGCCAATGTGGGAAACGTATTTCAGCCAATCGTGTGGTTCCACTGACATGAGGGTTTGTTTTTCTTCAACTGCGCATGTGTGGTAGTAGTGACACATGCAGGCATGACTGTAGTTCTCTGTGCTCTGTAGCACCACAAAGGGGACACGGTGACATTTAACACCTTCGTGGAGCATCCGAAGCGCGTGGCAAATTCACAGCCACACTGGCAGAGTTCCAGAATCTGCAACGCAGCTGCCTCATACCTCACCGCGCTACACACTTGCGAGGGCCCGTCCAACGCTGCTTGCAGCTTTAACTATATTTATTCAGTAACTTTTTACAGTTTTTCACAATTGCCAAGACACATTTCTTGAAACCTTCATCCATTTTCTCAAAACTTTAAACATAAAACCTAATGTTCAAACTACATTCACAAAACCCCTGACTCTTCTGGCAAAATCAAACAATCGCCTCAAAACCATGTATTCTGTGCTCAAAATCAAACACTGCTTTCAAAACATAAACACAGCCACTCAAGATATAAAACACTACAGAGCATTCTTTAGACACATCAAAAAACTGAGAACACAGCGTCCAGGGCATGTAGTTACAGAAAATGTTTGGTTTTTTTGCATATAGGAAACACATTTTCTGTATATTCAGCACTTGCAAAAAAATATACTACTGTAAGCCCAAAGAACAAAGAAAATAAAATTCTAAATCAAAAGCACATTACGCTCAAAAAAGGGCTGTTTCCTTGTAGGTTTTGTGCTGTTGTGCCATAGCCGTTTTCACGCCAAAATGGCAGCAGCGCTACTGCAGCGCCATCTAGCGGCAGTTGTCAAAAAAGCACCAGAGTTTCACCTCTTTCCTTCTATACTCTACTGCCACTGGGAGGGACTGACTTTATGCATCTAGGGAAGGTGGGGTGATTTCAACATAACCAGTGCTGTTCAGTGATTTTAATCACTGAGTGCAACAGGGACATTTTACATCCCTACCCTAGTAATAATTAAACCCACAATTAACTACTGTTTTTTTTTTTTTTGTGAACTAGCAGGTCCTCCACGGGAAGAGCTGCTAGTTCTTCTACTTTTTTATCAGCTCATAGTGAATTTTTTATGAAAACTGAGCAAGCAATTTGAGATAAACCAGGCGCGCCTCCTTCTACCAGCGGTAACATGCAGGTGGTACCTTCATGCAGTGAATAACAGCAGCAGAGAGAGGACCAGAACTTGAAAGATACTGCAGGTGTGCTCCTCTGCTCAATTGGTTTGACAGTTAAAATTATTTCAATAAAAAATTGAACTGAAAAAGTGGCTGTATTTGTGACTTACCTTGTGTTGGATCTCGATGTTGGCACTGATAGTAACTCCTGAGTGATTATTATTTCTCTCAAAATGCTCATTAAGCAAGTTACGCAAGTTACATAAGACCCCATAAATTAGGTAGCAGTCATCTTATAAAGGTATGCGTTTCCCACACATAGACTTCACTCGGTAAAGAACCATGACAGCTCAACATTGTGATGTCTGCAGCCACTGGCGATGGACGATGGCATTGTCGGTCCAACCATACTTTGATTAGAGGCTAAAGCGGAACTATCCCTCTGGTCATGAAAAGACAGAAAAAAACACCATGAGAATTAAATGAAGAAACAACAACCAGGTAAACTTGTGTTCGCTCCTATCCAAATTTGATGTCACAAACAGTAACGGTAATGTTAGGTTGCTAGGTACAGCGCACCTCTCTGTCTGTCTTGCAAACCTAGCTGAGCGCGCATCTCACATCCACAGGCACAGTGATGCTGGCCCAAGACCCACGGGGCGCCCATGCAAAGGTCTATGGTTGAGCCTTGAATGGGATCAAATAGGATCAACACTTCACTTACTGTCTTACATGATTAACAAGACTTTTTAGATGTATTCACATGATAAATGTATTATTATATTATATTTCAGACTTTTCGTCTGATAACCCACCACCCGCTGTTATTGTGAAAATGGTACGGTCGAAACATTTGGTGATGCAGATGCAGGACCCGCAAATCTAAAGCGAGTCACTTTAAGCCAACACTGAAGACTGTCAGGGGCCCAAAAAAAGAAAAGCGAAAATACACAGACAAAAATAAAATCATAGGGAGCCAAATTTCTGGCCAAAAAAAGTGTTAAAAAGCACCATGTAGCCAATGATTGACAAGCGAAGATGAGGAACTAGCTTTTAGGCAAACTAGTAGCCTATTTGCTTGATAGCTTGCTTAACCTTTAAGTAATATTAAGACCAGATCTGCAAACTCTCAGGCATCGAGCTTTAGACTCACGCAGTTGACAATTTTCACACACTCTCGCACTACACATAAGTTTTCTCACACAGTGAAAAACAACAACTCTGGACTAATGTAAGATGGAAAGCAATGGATTGACACTGACTATTGATTAAATATTGACTTTAAAATGTTAATTGACTGGGCAATATGGATGCACATACCTCAGTAAAAAATAATCAAGTAGTAGTAATAATAATAATAATAATGTTATCTATAATTTACAGATGCTGTGCTTAACTTTGGCAGTAGAAGAGATGCTGGATCATCAGCCAGTACAAACACAGACTCCCTCTTGGAGTCTTTACTCAGTCCAATTCACCTCACATGGTATTTTTGCTTTCCCTTTAGCTCTCTGGCGCCCCCTGGGGAGACTTTTGTCTTTCTTATGGATTTGTCCTGCTGAATGTCCATGTTTATTACAGACCATCTCCTGTAATTTCATAGAGATAAACATTACAGAGGAGCACAGGGAATATTTCATTTCTAATGCCCCTGAGTGGGGCTTAAAGGTCTTTTCAGAGGGGAGTCTTTGATGTGCCTAGTATAAGATTAAAGAGATCTCCCAACATTAAAACCTTTCACGCAACTGAAACACGCCACACATAATTTTTTCATTCACGCCGCTGAGTATAGACAGTTGAGACTGAGTGGTAATTAACATAAGCATTATTTTATAATATAAACATCTAAAAACTGAAGCACAAACTTTCTCTGTTTGGGTCTGTGAGCTGCACTTTATTGGAGGTTCTGTTAACGTGAGATTTCTGCCTAATCAATCGTGTTTTCAGTTAATTTCAGTTTCCACATCCTTGTCTCATCTTAACATGCAGTCCCAAACAGGTCTGTGTCTATCAGATGTGGAAGAGATTCTGAATGTGCAGAAAGTTTTGAACATGAGCAGAACACCTGCTGAAACACAGGAGCTATTAAAATCCAGGAATTACCAGACACAGAGCGCCTGGTGTTTACTCGCAAAGTGCTTGTCTGCCTGTCTATTCACAAGTGGAGTAGTGAGCGGGAGTGTCCTGTAACATCTGAAAAAGACCTTTAGTCCTGCCTGATGAAGGACTTATTGAGTACTTATTCTTCTCCCCACTACCAGGGATATTTCTAAGGCCGACACCAGTACAGTATACTGACAAACAGGTACAGATTACAACTCTCTAACTGCACTTTAAATGAAAAATCTGGAAACTAAAAACAGGGTCACAGCAGGCTACAAAATGTTGTAAAAACATAGTCATGAAATGTCAGGAGAACAACACTGACTTTTTGGTTCTCATGATGAGAGTAGCAAAGGAGAGACTCTGGTGGCGCTCATCGTGGTGTAAGGGCTGGTGAGCCAGGAGGAGACTGTAGTCCAACACATTGAGCCTCTGGAGGAAGTGTGTATCGATCTCCACCTGCCGCAGGAGCCAGGGACGCTGCCGGTCTGCACACACACACACACGCACACCAGATAACATTACAACTCAAACATGACTGTGCAGATATACAAACATTACAGTGGGTTTAATATATGGATAGTACGACCAGCATTTATACACACCATTTGCATTGACGTTTTATTTGAATATTAGATTTATTTGAATTAGATGCACAAAGTTAATTTAAGATAGAATGCATTTTGGCATAGTTAGATATACTGTTTGGCCTGATGGGGATGAGCTAATGCTATTCTTTTCTATTACACAAGTTCATATGACTCAAAGCACACATAAACATCACATTCTATTTCCTTACCCAGAGTGATGTACTGGCCTTCAAAGTTGAGATCTTTGAGAACAACAATAATCTGACTTCCCTCTGGTGCAGGCTCTGTCCAGCGACTCACCTCACAGCCCTTAATGTCGTACCTGGCAATACCAAACATACATCAAACCACACAAGAGTCTGTTTCGGTGTTGTTAAGACTATACTAATACTACTCATGCTTTGTATTTATGGGGGCTAGAAAACCAAGTTTACCTGGCATTGATTCGATCATCTGGATAAAACACACTTTGCATAACAATGAAGTATTTCTGCACAAGGACAAATACAAAAAAGAAATTGGCTTTATAATGCTTTGTAACATCCTGTAATCATTATGCCACATAGAACAGTGAGAAAATGTGATTCTTACCTTCCGTCTGTGTGGGATTTTGATCCTGTGAACACCTTGAAAAAACAGTGAGATTCACTCAGTCCAGTGCAACATATTATCTGACATATTGTCTTATAACATTGTAAAGGCAAGCATCTCTGCAGACACTTGCCAAACATCCACAGGCACAGTGATGCTGTCACAAGTCCAATATAAAGTACATGCTCCTTTTAGCTTTGTTTTGGTCTCTACCTGAGGTAAAGATGCAGCTCTAATCTAAATTAGCTGCTAAATGCTCCACTATGTTCCCCAGCTAGTTGAATAGTTTGTTTTTCTGTCATTTGGTGTTAAGGTCCTGGTGTACAGTGGGTTTATCAGAATTTCATCACTGAACCAAAATACTAAATGATTTAATTTAAATGGCAGTTCTAGGCTTAAAGAGCTCAAGTTACCCAATATAGAGGTCAAATCACCTACTAGAGGTCCAATTGCCCAATGCAGGAAAGAAATCCAATAAATGATAATTGTGTAGCAGAGCTTTGATTTTTCTTCTTTGCTCTCCTAGTAATCACCTCACGACCTCAGATTTATCTTGAAGGTCCGACCCCCTGGTTGGGAATGACTCAACTAAACAACGTAAAATTAGCTCCACCCCACGAAGTTACAGTAAAATGCTACTTAATCATTGATGCATCAGTATTAACATCAGGGTCTGAAATTAACTTTTTTCTACTAGCTGCCACTGTGGTAGGAAGCTCACTTAAGGTATAATTTAATGTAAATAATGCTGTTATTCAATGTTCAATATATTAACACAAAAAACACTACATGCCTGTTTGACCCATGTCTTTCAGTATATAACATTCACCCCACCTTACTTAACAATCCCTAACAACCAGGTATTTCAAAGGACAGAAGACAAGTAAAGTGCGGTTATGTGAGGGGCCGAATGCAAAACCGTAGTCATGCCAGTTGCCAGCGGCCACCTGGGACTAAAAGCCTGCCTTGGCAATGTAGCCACACCAGCCCACATTACCACACCCATGGACACACACGTTTGCTATTTATATTTGTATTCAGTTGATGAAATAATATAAGCAGTACCATATGTAACAGGTGTTTAAACATTTAATGTATGTGACTGGCAAACAGTGCTTAGGCTACAACTTTTAAAAAAGCAGATTTTTATAACAAATTTACACATACAGTAAAAACTACTACTGTAGAGTTAATTACAAAAGTACATTTGAGTATCACTGTTTTCTTCCTACCTCTACCAGATTCCTCCCTGTTTCTGCTAGGCTGCTCTGGTACTAGAAGACCAGGAGCTTGTCTTTCACAGAAAAACAATGTTATATATTGTTTTAGTCACACAAACAACGAGTCATGTTTACGTTTATTGTGGCAGCAACCTCTAGTGACCATACAACACAAACACATGACAAAGAGGGTCACGTATCTTAAATAGCCATAAAGTTGTACTCCGGTGGTGGTGGGATGGGTGGAAGGTTAGTAAGTAAGCTGCTTTTCAACCAGCAGGCCGGGTTCAGTTCCCGTGTACAGAGAAGATGGATGGTTTGAAACCCCACTGAGGTTAAATAGCTGAGTTTCCCTGCCAGTCAGTCAGAACTGAAGAAGTCCTTTGGATGAGGGACGAAACGTCTTCCAGTATCTTCAACCAAGTCCAGTTGCCCTTGACTTTAACCTTCGTTGGATAACTATGACCTGGATGACTGAGAATCTTCATAGATACATTTACATTACATTTATTCATTTAGCTGATGCAAAGTGACTTACAATTGCTATATATGTCAGAGGTCGCACGCCTCTGGAGCAACTAGGGGTTAAGTGTCTTGCTCAGGGACACATTGGTGGATGTGTCACAGTGGGGAATTGTCTCACACTACAGTCATGTGTCTTATCCACTGGACCAACGCCACCACCCCCATCAGTCTTTAACCAGTCTTTAGTCTTTAAGGCGTTGACAGCCCCCTGTATCCCCTAACCCTTTCTGGCAAGTCTAGCAAATGCCAGAGGGGCCAGACCTTTTATTTTGGGATGGGTCCCAAAGCAAATGTATACATCACTGAAAACATAGATGGATCTTATATTGCATTTTTGTCATCCTCAGAAATATTACTCACTGGACCTTTAAAGAGGCTGTAATATGCTCATTTTCCAACACATTCTCATCTCAATGCGTCATAACTGACGCTTTCAGACAGCATATGGATTTTACGCTGAAGGTACCCTTCAGTGTCCGTATGAAACACCCCCGTTTGCTACGTTGCAGCAAGTGCGCGTTGCAAGCCAGTGTGCTAACAGGTAAGGTTAGCCAGTCGACATGCATAAAGTCAGTGACTTAGGTTTAGGTACTAACATTTCTGATGGTTGTGGTAAGGGTAGGGGCGTCGGGGGGCTGTCAACACCTTTATCACGAACCTAGCTAGCTATCTAGCTACAGCTAGCTAACTAGCACTTCCGGTCTGTACGGGACACCCCGGAGTGTCTCATAGAGACGCACACGGTGCATCTCACACAAATAACTACGCTTTGTCACTCTTTCTCATATCGTCGGTATATGACGCCCTGAGATGAGAACAGGCTCCATTTTCAGGTTCAAAATCCTATTTAGGGGTTGTACCAGAGCAGGTTTACATGGTTTCATTTTCAAAAAAGGCCATATTTTTTTTCATACTGCACATTGCTGCAGCTTCTCTTTTCACCCTGTGTTGAAGGCTTCGTTTTAGCTATGGAGTGATACATCTGGTCTCTAAATGATCTTTGTTGGGAGTTGTACATGGGCAGTTCCTAGTTAGGGACTACTAGCCAATCAGAAGCAGAGAAGGGCGGGTCAGTGAGAAGCCGGTAAACACGGCTTCAGTTCAGCTGTACATGTTGCCGACCAGCTTGGCAACATGGACTGGAGCAAGAGTTTCAGAGTGGTGAGTTATTAATCTGTAACAAAAGTATCTTTCATCCATAAAGTTTTAACTGAGCTCTGTCTCTACATCACAGTAACAACTTTATGTCCATTGACTGCCTGGGGGGTAGCTAGTGTTTGGAAGGGAGAGGAGGGGTGTGCTGCAGCTCAGTGCTTTTCAGTTTTTTTTGAGGGCGTGTCAGAGTAGCCACTTGGCGAGTGTTATATGAGGCACATTTAGCTTTCATCCCTGTGACATCACAGGGATGAAAGGGAAACGGCTGGCTTACAAATGAGCTGTTTTCAAGCAGTTCAGAGTTTGGGGTGGACTTTGGGCTTTTTCACTTTGCAAACCTATTACATGCACAAAGTTTTATTTTCAGAAGACATAACATTGTTATGAATGCAGTGTTTGCTTTTGCCAGAGATTTGTGGAGTTTTTGTATTTGTGTTGAGTTTTAAGTAAAAGTGTATTGAGTAAGCAATTGAGAAAAACTGTATTGAATCTATGTTATTATATTCTGTACCTCTTTGGTTCTGTTTTTTTTAAATACATTTTTTTTATTAATTACAATTGCATTGTCATTGTGTGAATGTGTCGTTGTCTGTGTTATGGGTGTACCTAGGAACTTGACCAGCAGTGAATGGGGATATTTCCTCAGATGTTCCATGTAGATCTTCAGGTTGGCCAGAAGGAATTTGATTTCCCTTTTGTTCTGGGTCTTCAAAAAGAAGCGTTTGTCATTTCTAGAAGTTCAAAAATAAGTAATAAGTTTTAAGTAGATTTCCATCTTTTTACAGCAACCCAAACTCTGACAGTTTTACAATGAAATGTTTTTTTATTATATATTTTTTATAAAATGTTAATTTCTTATGAAAACTGCTTATGAATGGTCTGTGTGAGTTACTCACGTCAGAAAGAAGTCGGCCTTGCTCTTGGAGTTGCTGATGAACTGCAGGTAGCAGTTTTCAGAACAGAGCGACTGCTGATACTCCTGCTCTGTCATTCCCAAAGAGCCACGCAGGCTAGCAAACACCGGGCCTGCAAACGTCTCCATTGTAAAATCCTACACACATGCACACACACACACACACATGCAACTAAATATGGGGGTGGACACAATATTCAACACAATGACGCATATGAGTTTTGTTAGTCATTGGAACACAGACACATCCACCTACCTTATGAATCTGAGTGACCTCTAATCTGAAATCATCATCTGACAGTTCATTCTAGAGTGGGAGAAAGAGGAAAGATGTCATTAAGAATAAGAAGGACTTATTTATTTATATATGTAACTACAATATGTGATTTTAGCAGTATTTAGTACTCAGTAGTACTTGCATAATCCTTCAAGTTTTTAAATAATAAATGTCTACAGATGTCTGTAGACCTGGATTGACCAGTATGGAGTCCACATCTGGTTTAAATTATTCAACAAAATTACCATAGAGCAATTACACTACAGTATATCTCCAAAAGAATGTGGACACTATTAGGGGGTTTAGCTGCTTCAACCACACTCCTGACATCACTCCTGACAGACCACTGCTGCAGTTTTCCTAAACAAAAATAAATCAAAAAAAGAAATAAAGTGAAATAAAAAAGAAAAATGCATTTGCCGTGTCATAATTACACAAATTGAATAAGAATTATTTAGGTCAGATTTTGTCTTAGGTGATTAAGTGAATTAATTGTTTTTCACTGTGACATAAATTTTCTATGCATGGGCCACTGAAAGCTGTAATGTTTACTGTATTAAAAAAAATGACGATGTACTCCAGAGCAGTGGAAACATTTTGTCTGGAGTGATAAATCATGCCTCACTGTCTGGCAGTCTGATGGACGAATCATGGTTTAGTGGATAGCAAGAGAATGCTACTTGCCTAACTGCATACTGTAGTACTGTAGCCAACTGTAAAGTTTGGTGTGATAATGCTTTCAGACCGAACGTGACGCAGAGAGCCTCGATTTCCTGTCAGGAGGTGCAGAGGACGTGCTGGCCGTGAAGTGAAGGGATTCGCTTGAGTTGGAATTTTTCAACTCGATCGACAAAGCCGTGTGACGCTGTCTCGCAATAGCCTATCAGCATTGAGACTGTCCGGACGTCAGCAGACGACTGCAGAGTGTTGTTTGGAGAGGACCAGGCGGAACGGAGGGAGAGAGTCTCTGCTGGCCAAACAGCTGCTGAGCAATGGAGAGCTGTGGAGAAGAGAGCCGGAGCTTTTGGACAAATAAACACCTGCAGTCGGACTGGATTGTGCTCCAATATAAGCGCTGTATATCGGCGGGAGGAGCTCAGAGTTAATTGCTTTCATTATATTAACTTTTTATTTGTAATTTTTGGGATTAAAATGTTGATTTATCTTCACTGGTGCTTCTCAGCAGCGGGCCACAGTGTTTTTAGTTTCCACTGTTGTTGGTAATGTCCAGAGCTCCGTGGGACTACTACTTCATGTTTATAAAAAACGGCAGTGGACATTACTTGGAGAAAAGAAAGTGAAGAAGCTGAACTACCTAGCATTGTCAGAAAATATGTGTCTGTTACTTGATTTCAGCTATCATTGTACTTTACTGTAAATAAGTTAGCATAGCATAGCCCTAATCAATTGGAACTCCATTCAGAAAACCATTCCATTCAGAAAATTTGTTGTCTTGCTGCCTTGCTGACAGACAAAGCATGAATTCATATGTTTAGCAAAATTGGCATCATGTAGTTTTTTCGGCATTATTTTTATCCGTTTATTGCAAATAAATCACAGCAAAACGTTTAATTTGGTTATATACCGCTGTAGTAATCACGGGTTGTGTTTATTCGAATTATCACTCTATTCACACTATTGGCTCAGTGGGAGCAAATCCCTGTAGCCAGGTTCCATCATGGTAGAAAAACTGAAACCAGAAGAGTGGAGGCTGTTATAGCAGCAAAGGGTGGTTATCCCTTATTAATGCCTTGTTAAAGGTTCTGGAATGAGATTTTCAGAAGTCATATATAGGTGTTGTGTTTAAGTGTCCACATACTTTTGCATATACATGAAATGTGTACGCTTCTCAGCAGCATGATCCTGGAGCAGTGTTTCCCCTAGGATTTTTTTCAGGGGTGGTGGTAGATCCCCAAAACTACTAGTATCACTAGTATTCGCAGGTTCAGTTTTATTTGTTCCCAAATTCCATGTTAGCCTTTTTTATAAATTGTTAAATTCTGTGATTCTGTCCGCAATTTAATCAAAGGGCCCTACATCATGGAATGTTAGTGTACTACAGGCGATCAGGTGAAAATAGCAAGGGCAAAGTTGCACAACTAAAGGTCAAATTAATTCAACTTTTGAGGCGATGAGCAAGAAGCAAATTGCCTGGTTAGGTGAAAACGGCTTTATCTTGTGCGTCTGTTTTGGGGGGGGAATATATACCCTAGTTATATATATTTTTGTCATTCTTTCAAGAGTTGCGGGGGGTCGTTTACCCAAAACAATGGTAGGGGAAGGGAATACTGAAATTTTTTTAAATGAATGTCATTATTGTCATTATCATGCAATGTGTGTGTTATTGATGTCAAAAAACATGTAATAAATTATGTTTTGCTTATCTTAATGCAGTAATATATGTAAAAACGGAAGAGGTAAAGAATACATCTAAAGCCACCGTATGTTCAATGTGAAAGGGATGTGTGTGTTGGTGTTTTTGGGACTCAAGAGATACAACAAAACAGACAGGACAGTCATGCATCAGCCTGCTGAGTCAGCAGAGTGTGTTTGACTGGGATTAGGGTGAAGCTGCAGCACTGTGTGTTGAACTGCCCTGTGACTGCTCATTCAGAGTGGGCACTGCATACCACTCTTGTTCAAGGCCTTGTTCAGAAGGGGATTCCCTCTTTCAGCTGTCGTATTTGTACCTTTTCACATGAAAGAGGAAAACAACTGCTACAATTACCAATTGCTGCTCTTTTTAGATCATTCTCTTTTGAAGTCAGTGCTAGGTTGTCACCAAACCGTTTACAGCCTAATCAGGATAAAATAAATTAAGTTACAGGTTTAAAGGCTTAAATCAGCCTTTATGTCTGACATGCTTGCAAAAGTTTGCTTTGTAGATCTGCATTTATTTACAAATCAGAAATAGACCCTGTCAAATACTGGAAACTCAGGATTTCTGAGGCACATGTCAACATTGATATTTGAGAGTTTTAAAACATCTGATAATGTATATCTGATAAGAAATATCTGATACAATACATTTTTAATGTTTAGTCCTACTTCCTTCCCACACCCCCTTATACATTTTTGAAAGTGTATGAAATGTGTTAGTATGTGCTTTACCAGTTTCTGTTGCTAAGCCCATTATTATTGGCACTGTCATGTCAGAAAAGGCTTTGACCGCAACATAAGCACACATACCTACATCACCACCGAAGAAAAATTCTGCTATGGGCAAATCTGCTGGGTCATGTGGTGTAACAGCAACTGTTCCACTAGGGTCTGAGCTGCTTGTATTTGATGCTGGCTACATCTCTGGCTGTGCTCGTACTGGCTGAGGCTGCCTGTATTTCACCTGGGTCAGTGGAACTTGCTAAAGACAAACTGAACTGTGTCTGTGCTAGTAGCCTGCTGGCTGAGGATATGGATCAACTGTGCTAGTAATAGCCAATGTGAATCCATTGCTTTTTATCTTGCATTAGTTCGGAGTTGTAACTAAACCTTCACTGAGAGACAGATAATTATTGTCTTGTTTTATGGTTTAAATAATGTGCGCCCAAGATGGCGATGACCAAAATGCCAAACTCGAGGCTTCAGAATGCACACAAATGAATGGTATGATCTTGACACATGCCATCAAGCCAGAAAAGCAGCAGTTACAATTACATTCACATTCAAATGATGCAACATTCACCGAGGTTTAGGGCTGGGTATTGTTCAAAGATTTTCGATATCAATCGAATATCAATATCAATCGATACTGATACCGATACCTCGACTTTGATACCGGTTCCTGAACTATACTTCTTTCTATACCAGTTTTATTCTCAACAAACTATTGTTGTTTGTAACTTAATTATCACTTTATTATAATTAATATTGTTTGTAATTTTAATAATTGTTCCTTTGAAAAATTCTACTGCTTGTCAAAAAGCAAGACATATTTTCAGTGTAACAGGCCTATATTATGTTTTTGTTGTTTTTATTCCTCCTTTAGTTTTTATAATGTAATTTTTTAATTGTTTATATGTGAATTTGTGCTCTGGCAACATTGCAACCTAAACAACCTAAACATTCATGGCAATGGGCGAGAAAGAGAGAGAAACAAGTTTCTGCCACTACACATCAAAGTTTCCTCCTCACTAGAGGAAGAGGTGGCCAGGCAACAACTATCACAATAGAAAGTAAACTCAATCACGTGGTCCTTTATTCCCCTGCAGCAAAGACACAGACATCAGCCCAAGGATCGGTACGGGATGTCACCGTCGGTGACGTCACTTACTGATCCTTCAGAAATGTTTGGGGAAATGTAGCGTGTGTTGACGCTACTCAGTCAATAAAACATGTGTGCGTATGTGTGACCTTCAAGCGCGGTCTGTTTCCACACCCATAAATCTGTGCACCTTGCTGTTGGGCATGCCGTGGAGACAGTGGCTGATCGTCAGCAATATCAAAATATAATCATTATTAGTCTATCAGAATATGCTACCCCTGATATCTTAAATAAAGGTGGCATAATGCTCCCCGTCTCCTTACAGATCACATGGAGTGGGTAGTGGTGCAATTTAAACAGATTCTGTGGTGGGAGCACTATTTCATGGGGGATATTAGTCTACCAGAATACGCTATCCCTGAAATGATGTTATTATATAATTTTAAAAAAACAGATGTCATAATACTGTGAGAGTTACACCTTTATGGGATTGGAAATGGGAACACATAAGGTAGCATTCTTCGATAGTCTATCGAGTCGAATCGATTTGCGCTATGGTAGCATTTTTCGACAAGGCAGCAGATATCGTTAGAACACGGGCTCTGTCTTGTTGCAGTCAAAGACGGAGCAACTTTCTGTCCTTACATTTATTCCATGCACAGTCGAGGGCTTCACCTGGTGTTTCGAGTCACTGCTCTTGGCAGCTATTATCTTACATCACAAATATTGCATCAAGCCTTGTGCAACGTAGCCACACTTTTCTCCACGTCTTTTACATCCACGAGCCACATCTCTGTGCTGTGTTTACATCACCACAGCCAATTACAATCACTTTTAGATTTGGGCACATCAAGCATGCTGCATGCTTATTGGCTCATTGACGTTAACAAGAACCTTTAGGTATCAAAAACCAGACATTTTTTGATACTCAGTGGTACTGAGGCAATTCGGTGCCTAAAACGTATTGAACTTGATACCCAGCCCTACCGAGGTTGGTCTGTTACATTTTCCCTGTTACATTCCCATAGATTTACTTGTGATATTGTGACTCATGTTGTGCTCTATGTTTCCTCTGGGGTGGTTCACTTACCAGGTGGATCACCATGGTAACTTATGCTGAAAGGCTAACCTGCTCTAACCAACTCTCCTAACTCTTGTTGTGAATTATTTTGGAGCATTATAGCCTAAATTGTTATCATTAATTACTAGAGCAATGGTGGTCTACATTGTCATCATTTAAAGTGTTATTTTATAGTGTAAAGTTAGATCACAGTGTTAAAACTCTAGCTGTGAGTGTGTGTGCTGCTTTCTGTATCTAACTGCCCAGGCTCAGCAGTAGCACATGTGTGTGAGCAAGCTCGTGTGCTTTGGGAGAAAAGGGAGGGAGCACAGTGAGGCAGCATCAAAAACACTTGCAAAAGAAAATATAGAAGCAGATTTTGTGAAAATTGTATTACAAAACATACATTAATATAGTCCATCACAGTAAGAATGTCCTGTTTCTAGCACGGAGCACAAACAACACCAGTTTATTCCACAAAAGTCAGGTTATGGATGAAATGGCATGATCAAGCGGAGGGCATGCAAAGGACACAGAGAGGAGGAGCAGGCAGTCAGGGACTTTCCTGACCTCACCAATCGAAGGAGATCCCGCACACTGTTACAGGCTGCTTTTATGTTTGCTGTGGTGATGTGGAGAAATGTTTGTGTAGTGATATCATTCTACAGAGACTGAGACTTCTATTGTAGGTTTTTACATTAAGCATACTTACTGCTTTGAAATGTGTTTTTTATTTGGTCTGTCACTGGCATTAAAATTAATGGGTTTAATTTTTCTTATGTGAGGATGAATATTATGAGCAATAGTTTGGTAGGGATATTGAAATAAATTTTAATAGGCTATAGGCTATATATTTTAGGTTAGTAGTTATTAGAGTGACTGGTCATGTACAGCCCCACCTTTTGCGATGTGGGCGAAGGTAATGTGGGGGAGTTTACAGCAGCCTAAATGTCGAGATTCAGTCTTTTGACCACTATTTGAGCACATTTTATGACATGAATGGATTTTTCGTTTTGTTGCTTTATGAAGTTCATTTAGAACAATGTTTCAAACACTTTTGAGTGTGATAAATGAATCTTATTTTTAAAGTGACGAGAAGTTCTTAAAAGTGACCATCTATTCAGAGTCTTTTAATGTGGAAACACAGACACACAGCCGTGCTGAAAGAATAAGGCTAATATGTTCATAGACGCCATAAATACACATCAAATCAACACATTATTATAGATTATGGTGTTCCTTTAGGCATTCACACTGTCAGCAATCTTCTGTCTTCCTGTATGCGTCAGCTGCAGCTGTGCTACTTAACTGTGTCTATTTGTCTGGCTACAGTTTGCTCACACAACTAGCTTTCAGTTGATAACCAGCTCATCCCAATCGCGAATGTTGAGGTTAGTTAAGCCAGATAACAAATAGATATCCTGGGTATGTTGAACTCGCTTCGTGGTACAGGCCCCAGATCCCATGCCCTTTGTGGACTGATCTGGGGGGCTTCCCTTTCTTTTGTTTGTTTTGGCCAGCCCATCAGACCTGTTATTACTAAGTTGACCTTTAACTTCTTTCATGGTTTATTTGATAAACTTTTTTTTTCTTTAATACTCCTTGACTCCTTTGATTATGTTTGCCCACCATTGTAATGACCTTTGTGGGGATCGTAACATCATTTGGGGGATTGTCCATACTAATTGTAAACTTTGTAAAGTTTTCAAAAAGTTTTTGAGATATAGATTTGGGGAATTTGGTGGAAGTAAAGCTGTTGTAATTTAGATGTGTTGATTTGTTTGTAGCCTTTTGTACTGTGTATTGACTTTTAGAGTTATGGGTAATTTTGTGGACATAGTCGGCTTTTTGTTTAATTGGATCTTGTGCTGTACTGTGGGATGCAGTCATTTGTGAGTCAGAAATTTTGCAGTTGTGCTGAGGCTGCTTGATTTTTGGTTTTGGTACTCCAAAAACTCCCAAGCGGCCACATAAAACTGTTGATGGAGCAGTAAGACTTTACAGGAGGGTGATGATGAAGTAGGGTAAAACTTTTGCATTGCATCAGATATGGTACTCGACCACTGAAAAGGATGCTTTGGCAAGTGCCATGGCTTTAGAACATTTTGATGTTTATGTTGGCTCATCTAATGTCCCTGTGGGATACAATAAAGAGGGGGTTGGGTGCTTGTCTCTCTCTTTTGTCCATCTTCCAGCCATGGCAGCAGCAGCAGGCTGACTGGGACTGCTGCAAATTTGTATTCTTTTGATTGTTGTTTTTCTTCTATTTTTATGGGATTGGTAGTTTAGTTTTTGTGGCTTTGTTTCTGTTTGTTTAGTTAGTTTGAGATTGGTTTAGGGTAGAGGGGAAGCCTCCAGATCCTACAGTCCTTTGTGGGCTGGGCTGGAGGGTTTCCCTTTCTGTTGTTTGTTTTGGCCAGCCCATCAGACCTGTTATTTTGTTTGAGTTGATCTTTGACTTCTTTCATGTTTTATTTAATAAATGTACTGTATGTTTGCTTTGGTACAACTCCTTGACTCCTTTGATTATGTTCGATCACCTTTGTAATGAGCTTTGGTGGGGTCGTAACATGGTCTTTGGATGGCTAGGTGTTGGACAGGATTTTAAGTTGTAAAGCACATTGTAACTTTGTTTTGAAAAGTGCTATTCAAATGAAGCTTAACCTAAGTTTAATCAGGAAGACTATGCTACTCATTCATTCACATTTTTCTCTCTCTCTCTCTCCCGCTTGTCCTGCTTTCTCTGTAATCAGTGATCAGGGTCTAATTGCCAATGGCTCTTTACTTTTACTTTACTTTATTGTGCATATTAAATATTATTCACTCTTAAGGAAATCTCACCTGATTGAGATCATGCTTCATATCAATTGAAAACCAAATGTTCAAATGTATATGCTCCTATTAAGGCTAAGATGAACAAATCAATATTGTAATGTTAACCTGTTTGTATTTGGATTCATTAATTTGGATATTTGTTAAAGCCTATTCATTTCATGTATTCAGTTTAGGTATGTTTACTTGTAATATACTAATACTATGATAAGTATTGTTTTAACGCACTGACTAACAGTAAAAGTGAAGCCCTGCCTGTAATTTCATGAACCTAAATACTAAGTTGGTACATTTTTAAACATGCTGACCCGTACTCACTGTAGGTGCGTTGTGTGTGGTGTTTTGGGTGGCTGCTGCCAATCCCTCCTTCATCATGCAGGTCAGACTGTAGAACTCGTGCTGCTGATCGATCTCAAACAAGCCCAGGAGCTTCCACTGCTGCCTCAAACCACCCCACCTCCTCCTTTTCACTGTGCCGGAGTGCTGACGGTGACCAGACATCCCCAGGCCACCTGTAGCCGCTGACATCTCCATCTGGAATGCAAAAGAAATCACAACTGCATCACATCCACTGCAAACGCAGCTAAGGTTTTCAAAGCTCCAGCAAAAAGAAATCAAAGAGTGAGTAGAGGCCAGAGACAAACACAAAAGATAGCTCACTGTCAGTGGAGTCTTTGACAGGGTAACTATGGAGACCAACACAAAGGGATCATCGCTTCATGGGCTGTGCTGTGGGCACAAAGCTGCTCCTCCAACCATCACAGCTCTTCATTAAAACAAATCTTAAATGTTCAACTACTGTATGTGTACATTTGTTACAGTGCAATTAGTAACAAGTACAGTAATGTCTCATTCATTAGTGCACCTGCAGGAACATAAGACAATAATTGAACATGAAGCCAAAGACAAACAGGACACTAGTGGACAACAATGGTGCAAAAATGCAAAATGTATGTTTAAAAAGTATTTTTAAAATAAAAGCATCTTTCTGAAAAGACTAAACGTAAGTTTGCTCTAAAGAGTTTTTGCTTAAGAAGCTGCTGAATTTGACCTATATGGCAAATATGGTGCAGATTTATAACCAAAATACATACATAAGGCGCAAGGCATAAAGCAAATAAGGGTCATATTTAAAGGTAAGTCTGGTAATATTATATATTTTTCTTATTGTCAATCCCAGCCCAGACTGGGGTAAAAGAAAATGTGGACATGGAATTTGTACACTCTCCAGACAAAGCATTTGTTGGGGACCCCGGGTCTTTAGAGACCTTTATTCCTGCATTCCTGAGAGGTTTGTGCAAAAACAGTACATCACAAAATGAGCTATTCAATTACATTTTTCAAAACTAGAAACACCCATCTAGCTCTCTGGCTAATTTCAATAAAAATTGTATTTGAAAAAATATGAACAAATATTTCTATCTGCACCAGAAAATAGATCAAATGACCAATACACAAACTCTCAAGCTTGTGACTTGTACACTCCTTTGTTTATGACTGCAGAAACACACTAACTCACTCCTCAGCGTAGATTAGATTAGATTAAATTAGATTAGATTAGATTAGATAGAAAGTCATTAGGATTAAGATTACAATATGTTAGGACACCACTAAAATATAATACTATCAGTAAAACTGTACATAATGTTAGGATGTTAATACCTTTATTAGTATACTAGTCAGGGGCCACTTTACCATTAGGCAGGTAGGCAGCAGTCATTGTAGAAACATTGTAGAAATAATTTCAACTAGACAGTAGCTATAGCAGGTTAAGAATTACAGGACCAACATTCATCATTTTAGTAGTTTTTGTTTCATGAACCCACAAAAAGATCTGCCTTGTGGTTAGTCTCTAAGCTAATCAAACAGTAAGCCATCATATTAATGTCTCATTGATACCTGTGCAACTGTTAACTACCTTATTTGTAAGCAAGCTAGCCAAATAAGCCATATCATCATCAGTCTTACCATGTCACTGGTGCTTTGCCTGGGCTCTGGGGGCTGTGACTCTGTTTTTTTATTGCCCTCATCTCGTCTGTCTGTTTCATGTTCACCCAGGCCAGCTCTAGTACCGGGTCCACCGGTATCCTCACTGCTGTCTCCACTGGTGAAGGTAGAAGTAGCAGCAGCACCAAAAGAAAAGTCTTTAATTTTGAGCCACTTTTCTGCACCTGCCTCGAGCGACCTCTCCTTTTCGTCCCTCAACTTCTCAGCACCACCTTTGCGTTTCGTCGCATGGTTTTTCTCCATGATATTTAAAGAACTAAATAACCGGGCTAGGGGTTAGGTCCGTGTTTCAGCCGTGTTTATTATGTTCTGATGTGGAGTGTGTGATTGATTGACATAGCCAATCATATTAAAATGGCCCCTCCCAAACCACGTCTGGGTCAGTAACCACACATTGCGGGCCAGTCGATCAAAGCACATACAAATCGATTTTGAACTGCATTTTTTTGCCTCTATGTGGTGCGTCGGCCTAACTGTCTAGCAATTCCCGGTATTCACAATGGCCAGTCCGTCCTTGGAACCCCAATCCCACGTGCAGAGCCAAATCAACAATTAATGTCTCCAACTATCTAGTATTGTGTGTGTCTCACAGCCTGATATCTCTTCTTCCTCTGAGCCATAGAGCTCCATTGTTGTTCAGAAAATATTAAAATACATCAGTGAGCCTCGCTGTGGCACTGGGTCTCATGTTCCTTCATCACCACGAACACACACACTGTAGTTTACTCTGACTCAGTACTCACTACAGTACCACTGAAAATATTCCCTAACAAATGCACACTTTCCACCTGTTTGAGTAATGACTTCTAAAAATACAATGGCAAGCTGTTGTAGGAAATTAAAAGTGTTTTTTTAGACAATACTACATATTTGTGAGTGACCCATTATTTAAGGGTAACTGATCCTTTAACATTCTGGTCGTCAAGTAAATACAAGATCGGTGGCTCATTTAGGAATCATTTTAAGGGAGGATGTTTAACCATTTCTGCCCTGTGTGCATTATTAAGAGCACGCTCTGTTTCACAATAGAGGTTTAAAAAGTCTTAATTTGATGTATGTCCAAATTTTATAAATCTCTTGTGTTTTCTACCAACCTTGCTACCACCGACTGCAAATGCTTCAGTAAATGATGGCTAACCCCTTTTGTAAATTAGCCATCTATGCCATTGGGTAGTTATAGCAACAAGCATGATGCGAAGCTCCTTGCACCTTTTAAGCTCTTCTCTCTGTTACTAGAGACGCTCCCAGCTTCATTTTGCATTTGACTGAGACACAAAAGCTCCCTGTCTGATCACAACCTTTTGTAACCCTGTTTGATGGTCTGCTTGAGTGTTCAGGCTGCTGCGGTTTGAATACATCACATCTTTAAGGCAGAGGGTGTTTCATTACTGTTCAGGAACAAACAACCAGGATTTCAAGAGGAAATGCCTGATGTTGGAGAAAAATAAAATTTTAGAATGAGTTTGTTGGGGGTGCTGCATTGTGTTATTATAGAAAAAATTAAGATAAGTTGACTTCTTTCATTTTAAAATGCCAAATAAACATTTACAATGCTAAAAATAAGCCTAGACTCTCTAGGGTCAATGCAGAAGCACTGGCTAACAGACATGTTAAAATACATTTAAGCTGTTAAAATACATTTAAGCACAGACAAATTCATCATGTAAATGCAAGTGTTAACTTTAAAAAGCACTAATCTATGTGTTAATACTAACAATGGATGAAATTACAATGTAATGTAATGTTAAAAAAAGGAGTGGTGCAGGTAGTGATGAACCTTCAGATAAAGAAAAGAGAAAACCAAGTTTAACCACAATGGTTTTTTCAACTTTCACTCAGGAGCAAAAATCAGCCTTTAAACCATTTGTTTTGGGGGTGAGCCAGTCAGATCTTTTAAATATATATATAAAGACATTGCTTTTACAGGTTGATGCCGCATAGGACGGGTTGTTAACGCTTGTAAAATTTCACTGTGGTAATAAAATAATAGTAAATATTTGGCCCAGTCGGTAACGGCTGGCCTGGTGGGCTGACCCAATCACAGGTTTGGGTCCGCGTCATGAAACACATCTCTCATGACATGTTTGATTTTGATTGAATGTCCCAATTTCAGTAACCTCGGATTGGCTCGGTCGGCTCATCTCAGGACCAGGCCGGCCGTTACAAACTGGGCCTATGCGCCATCGGCCTGTAGAAACAATGTATTTATATAAGAAATCTGATCGGCCCACCCCAAAACAAACGGTGTGGCCCCTCTGGCATTTGGCAGAATTAATAGATGGCCAGTCCGCCACTGGTCACAGGCTTCTGGTCTTCTAGTACCAGTGCTGTGAGAAAGGATGCTACTGTAGGCCTAGCAGAAACAAGGAGGAGTGTGGTAGAGGTTTCAAAATCTATGTTTTCTCCCCCTCACTTTTTTGGGCGATTTTGGAGTTGGCTCATAGCCAGGCGGTTTGAGTGACTAGTTAATCAATCAATCACACACTCCGCATCAGACATGATTAAACGGTTGAAACGCGGACAAAAAGCATGCAGGTCTGTAGAAAACATGCGACACAACGCAAATGTGGGGCTGAAAAGTTAAGGGAGAAAAAAAGAGTTCGCTAGAGGCAAGTGCAGAAAAGTGTCTCAATATTACTGTTCTTTTTGTACCTGAAGACAGCAGTGGGGTTGCTGCACGGTGGGTGCTGACTTGTTACAAGTAACTTCATTTTGCTAAATAAATAAAGTAATTGGCACCTTTTTCACGTTCCTTTTCAAAATTGTAGCCTACTTTTACTCCTTACTCCAGTATTCGATATATTTTCCATTCATACCTTCATAACTTCACCAGTCTGTAATCTGCAATAGGCTTCGTTAACTGAATGAGCTGTCAGCCAGGCTGCGCGCGCAGTTACGCAGAAGCGCACCAGGTCTCCTTTATGGTACAGAGAGACGGTACTTATTACAGATGAATGAGCTGGACAGATGCAAACATTTAGAAAATCAGGCAAAACCTTTTTCAGTTTAAGGCTTTATTGTTCTACTGATACAACTGAAATCCAGCCTGCGTCGCTCTTTAACAAGCCGGCCGGCACCTACTTTCACTTTCCATTAACGGTGCATTAAAAGCGTATTTAGTCTCTGCAGAGAAAACGTAAACTTCACACTGTAACATCCAAGTCTGATGATCACTAGATTGATTCTGATATATTAACAGTGTCCTGTTGTTGAAAAGAGCATCGCTTTCTTTTGATGGATATCAGCCTGTTTTTTTTTACATTGGTTACTGTGAACAGAATGTAGCCGGTGAAACGAATCTTGGCTTTCACTCAGCAGCTACCAGCTGTTATTTATTCAGGAAACAATCATTTTTGAGATGCACAGAGAGAGAAAATATGGTGGATAAAACAGTCCTGTTGGGCTTTAGGCATGACGCACAGCTTCCTCTGTATGCAGGTTTACCTGCTTCAACAACGAGCTGTTGTTGAAGGCTTCAATAGTTGGCTGGGCAGCAAGCGTGATATATTAAAGTCATCTTATCAACACATTCATGGAGATTTAAAAAGGAAAATAATTATTAAACAGAAATAGCTAAAGACAATCAACCAGCAAAGCAAATTGCATTGCCTAGAAATAATCATGTTGCAGCTGTTTCAAACATGATGAACAGCAGATAAAATATATTATTATACTTTTACATGAGTAGGTGTGTCATTTTTTTCTTTTACTTTTTATGGGAGTAATTGTACTTTTTCTTGAGTAAAGATTTTGAGTACTCTACCCGCCACTGGCCAGCAGAACCAGTACTAGCACTGACATGGTGAACATGAGACAGACAGCAGAGATGAGGTCAAAAGCAGAACAGAGTCAAAGCCAGCACTGCCCAAAGCACCAGCTTATGGTCAGATTGATGATGATATGGCTTAATTAGTCATCTACTCAAGGGCTCAGCTGAAGTGATTACTTTACTTTAGGAGTGTTAGAGGGATGTTTCTAATTTTGAAAATGTATTTTAAAGGCTCATTTAGTTATGTACTTTACTTTCATAAAATTCTCAAGAATGCAGGAATGAAGGTCTCTAAAGACCAAGAGGCCCCAATAAATGCTTTGTCTGTAGAGCAGGCTGACCAGGGACAAACTCCTGGGTACTTTTTTGGCTCTGTCTGTGACCATCCTTGACCTTAAAAACATGTGCCAGGAGGTGTGTATGTGTCTCTGCTACGTGTCCATAAACAATTGAAAAGTATTCAAAATGTTCACAAAGAGATGAGCATCCTGCAGTATTTTAAGAGGAAGAGGTCAGAGGTCACAGGAGCAGGAGTAGAACAAACTGAGGAGGACGAGCTTGTAAGTTGTGTCGATAGCTAGTAGACGTAGTAAATTCTAAAACTCACGTAGGAAAAAGACTTTGTTATTCCAACGGCATGTCATCAGAGTTTGCATTGAAGACAGTTCTGTGTTCACAAATATTCACAGGAAGAGTCAGGGCCAAGTGAGACACAGGAAATATCACAGACAGCTACAGTACATCAATTGTAACATTAGGATAACTTAATACATTTGTACTGTGGCTACATTAACTAGCAGCTGTTCCATGTTTTTTATGCTATGTAGTAAGTTTTGTTCTAGTTATATTATACACCCTCTCCCTCTTCGAGTCTTCATAATCTCCCCTCTCCAGTCTATTCTCCATCTTCTGTCACTACAAAGACCCTCTTTCAGCCACACTAATAAGTACATTCTGTTTTCAAAAGTCATTAGAATTGGGCATTTAATCAGTTTTGGTGATAAGGTGCTACATGCAGACAAACATACAGTTGACATAAATAAATGTAGAAATATATAAATATGGAATAGACAATGCAACTATAATAATATTTAAAAGAATAGAGAAAAATAATACAACTATTGACAACTATTGCAGACTGTTTATCTATCAACTATTTAAGTGCTTTATTTAAAAAAAAACAAAAAAAAAACTAGCATTTCGGTCCCCCCCCCCAGGTTCAAAGTCGCTCCTACGCCCCTGTTGGTAGTACACTTATTTTCAGTTAAAAAAGACAAGAGAATATTGATTTTTTGAGAGGGGTATTTCCAGCTTTAAATTTGAGCCTGGTGAACAGTCTCTTATTATCTGATAAGGATAACCAAAATGCTTAGTCAATAACAAAACCCGGTTCTGTTTTATGACACCTAACCACTGAATATCAGCAAGAGAATCACCCGAGCTAAAGAAGCAGGATTTAGAAAAGTATGCATCACTATGCGGTTCAATGCTAAACTCATACCCGTAGCAATGATAGGGGGGACAATGAAATACATGCTAATGTCAAGCATTCTTCAAGCTCCACATGAACAAGTAACGTTACTCGTTAAATGTGCTGAAAGCTGTCAACTTCAGATTAAAGCGTTTTACTTGCCTCAGGATGGCTCGTTGACGCAGAGCAGAGCAGGTCAATGCGCCGCCTCCGGGCTCTGCCTGTCCGTATCGTGTGTGTGTGTGTGTGTGTGTGTGTGTGTGTGTGTGTGACTGTGCGTGTCACATGTCAGTTTGCTGCCATGTGATGGCATCGAGCGGAGACTGGCCATTACCCAGCGGTCACACCCAGACACTGTCACTGACTGACCAGCTGCGCACCGCACCCTGCTCACTCTGACAGGCTCACATCCTACAAACACAGTATAAGCTGGGAATTATATGAATGCGAAACAAATAAAAATGTATTAATATTAATGCATCAATAAACTAAATAAAGCAGTTAACAAAAATGTAAAACATTAATTTCTTTCCTAATGTTATGGGTTTGTCAGGAGGATGGCTCTGCAGCCACAGAGCAAACCCTGCTGACTCATGGGGTAATCTGATGACCAGAAGATTATCATTTTAATACAAGGTAACGCACTTAGACCATCAGCCATCCACAGGGTTAGGAAAGCTTCCTCTGGTGCCCTTCCACTTTAAATACATTTTTGGGGGGTGAACCAAATTTAGCTATTTGATTTTTATACTTTCAGAGACTACAGTCAAAACTTTCAATTCAATTTTATTTACATAGCACCAATTCATGACAGCAGTTATCTCATGGAACTTCTCATATAGAGCATATAGAGGGAGAGAGAGAGGGAACACAGTAGCCCAATGCAATATCCACACAGAGATATGAAACAATAACTTCTTAACATTTCTACAGTAAAATATGGTATGTTTATGTATTACAAACTAGAATAACAGCTAATAAGAAATCAGCACAAATATCAGCACTCGCGTGTTTTTATGTCAAAATTAAAAAAAGATTTATTTATTTTTATTTCTGGGTGCAATTTTGGCACCCCTCTCAAGGAATAGGAAGCGCCCCCTACCAATCCTCAGCTCCCCTGCAACATTTCATCAACAGGGGCTTGAGGCAGCACTACGGCACAGCCTCTCACGACAAACGATTGAAATAAGGTTCACAAGAAATGTTGTTGAGTATGAATATATACCCTAACTGTGTTAAAGAGTACTTGAAAGTTATGTTTGCATAAGAAACAATATAAATTAAAGTAGAATTATTGTCCCTCCTAACTACAAATTTACATTTACTTCACGTTTACAAAAGCAGCAGCACCAACGGCAAAGTCACAATGAAGGCTCCTTTACAAAAGTACCGGTAAGTTATTTATTAATGTACAACATTAGAATTTTTTTGGTTTGCGTGAAGTGTTCTGTGGCTGCATGCTTTTCTGCACCAGAGTAGCCAGGCTAATGCTACACTACACATGACATGGATGATACTCCTTAATCATAACGTATGATTTGCATGACTCTTAAAGAATGACTTATTCATTTCATTTTATTTCCAGAGAGTTGAAGACCGCCATGTGAATAAAAGCAGTACTGGCACTTTTTTCCACATTAAGCACTAGACCCAGTCATACTTGGTGAGAGCCCTTATTTGTATAGTTTTATAATCACTGCCTGCCCTAAATCCACTCCCCTTAACGTGAACAGTGCACCAGTTGTGTTTCCACTCTAGTCACAGCCATTGTAGGTCCACTTGATTACTATCTCAGCTTACTCTGGTGTTACATCAGCTTGAAGAGTGAAGTTTAGTAATATTAAGTGTTGCATGGATTGCATTCAAGGCAAGGCAACTTCATTTACACAACACATTTGATACAGAGGGTAAATTGAAAGCAGAGTATTCACTGACAAAGTTGTGGATTGTTTACAATGCTTGTTCTTTACGTCCCATGCTTGTAGAATTGACGTAGAAAATGACGCAGGTACCCTGTGGTGCAGGAAGGTGGGTGAGCAGTTGGAGGCGTACCAACAGAACTGACGATCTTCCCAAATTACCCCTTAAAAACAAGACAAATGCTTTCCTGTCTAGGGCTCCAATTATAAAGATAACAAAATTAGATTAAAACCACATTTCCCAGCATCCACATTTTATTAAACAGAGAAAAAGTAAACATTTGGCCCCATTTACTGCAGGTTTGTGTGAGGCGAAATGCTGGTTTGCATCCAAAAATATTTACAACATCACTTTCACACACTACAAACATGTACATTGTCACAGTATTTATGCTTTCAATGAAGTAGGATTTCTGACTCTTTTTTTTCTTTTTCTTTTTCTAACAGTGACACGTTTCACCCCCTTTGGTCCTGCCATATTACTGTCTATTAGTGTATTTGCTCAAATGTAAAGCTGATGATACACGGGGCAACTTTTTGAGCAATGTTGCTGGGCAAGACTGTTTTTGCGCTGGAAATTATGTTTGAAATAGTGTAGGTTGTGGTATTTTTGGAGGATAACATATTTATGCGCATAGATATCAGATATTCTTTTAGATTGGAGAGAGCACTGGTGTAACATCGGCTTCTACAGAGACAGTGATGACAGAGACATTTGCGCCTTTACTGTTGCTTGGCGAGCAAGTTTCCTCAAGTCAGTTTTTAGTGTCATTTAGAATTCCTCAGCCCTGAAAGTGTTTAGGTAGCTGAGCGTAGTCTGCAGGACTTTCCGTGGGCTCATGTTACACGTTTTACTGCCTCATTGGAGTGAACAAGTGAAAGGCATCTTCCACCATCCTTACTCCAGAAATGGACCGAGGACTGCGTCATCCGTCAAACGACCAAGGATAGTCAGACGAAATCACTCGCACAGCTTCAAGAGCTTGAGAGTGAGAGTCAGAATACGACTGATAAACAGATTGGGTCAGCTACACTTGAAAACATTAACATTCTGCCCTAATGGAAATATTTCATGTTTTGATGTGGGCGATATTCATGCCGATGTCGTATCAGAATAGGAAAACGTGACATCCAGTCCATTACAGTCCATTAGCAGTCCGCAAGCTCTCCCTTTGTAGTAGTTGGTCTGAGGGCTTATCTACTGGATCCAAATGAAATTATTCAGAGTGGATGGTCATGGGAATGTGCCATAAACCCTTCAACTAAATTAATTCCTGTTAACACTGTCTACTGCCTACAAGAGGAGAACACAGCAACTGATCTCAACACTACACAACAGTCAGTGTAACAGCAATGCAGTGAGCAATCTCAAAACCTTTTCAAAACAAATTTAAAGCCACTATGTCAATTTATTTCATTATTCTCAGGACGCAAGTTTTTGGTTGTAGAAGCATTTATCCGAGTGGAAATTGGTGCAGTCTCTGTTTTGCTTTCAGCAAATTCATTCTCAGTGTCTTTCTTTATACTGCCACTCCAGGGCGCTGAAGTTGAAGGTTTTCAAATGTGACACAGCGGCTTAAAAACACTGCTCATATCTACTTATCATCTCTAAGAACAGAAACAGAACCAAAACCTCAGGTAAATCTCAGAAAACATTCTTTTTAACAAATATAACTTTGTAAGAACGTCATTCCATCTGAGAATGAAAGTATGATTTTGTTTGTAGGGCCACCAGAGAGGGCTCAGCAATTCATTTTCACATCCTCCCATCCACAGCCGTCACTCTAACATCATGACATTAGTCCACTTTTTTTGGCTTGCGATTCTTCCACATGACAACTGCCATGAAGGCCCCTGTGGAGAAGATCAGAACAGTATTATTATGACGCACATATTCACACCCCATTTAACTTTATATGTAGAGAACTTAGAGGGGTTGTCTGTGAAATCCATTTTTCAATGAGAATACGTTTGATTTGTTGTAGAATGCAGATAGTCTACTCACCTATACAGAGGAGCAGTACTACTGCTGCAATGCCAGGCAGAATGACAGAGTACTCCCGAGGAAGAAAATACTTGTGCAGTATGTGGTCACTGTCCACAAAAGGCTGGAAAAGGACCACATGACATTTAAAAAGTGTTATTAACCATGAAAGACTTAAATTCCTATTCCTGTGTATAATATAAATACATTTATTGTTGTTCCATGTAATAATTACATTTTGCAACAGTTTTATAAACTGAAAAGTGCGAACACAGCTCAAAGACTTTGGAAGGTCTGAACCTGCAAGCGACTGTACAAGTCTTGTGTGAAATTAGGGTCTCTCATTTGGATTTTAGGGAGACAAACAGAACCTACCAGAACGATGACCCAGACAGAGTAGTATGTAAACAGCAGCAGGCTGAAGACAACAAGACTCATGCCAACTGCTTGATCCACTCCTGTAGCCTGAAAGCAAAGAAACACCTGCTGAGCTGAAGGCGGGGGCGACCACAATCCCAAACTAATTATCAAAACTTTTCTCCAGCAAAACTCTGATGAAATGGGCAGAACAGTGCAGATGCCACGCGCAGCTTATATGCTTTTTGACTCCAGTGATACACTGTAGTTACTCCCTTCCAAAAACATCTGGTAACAGTGGGGGGGGTGATGGCACTGTGAATGAGACGCATGCCTTTGGTGTGAGAGACCCAGGTTCAATTCCCCACTGTGACCCATCCACCACTGTGTCCCTGCGCAAGACACTTAACCCCTAGTTGCTCCAGAGGCGTGCGACCTCTGACATGTACAGCAATTGTAAGTCACTTTGGATAAAAGCGTCAGCTAAATGAATAAATGTAATTTAAAAAGCAGAGCTTGAGATTTCCTGACTTTTGGTTTCTAGTATGAGTCCAGCTCTATAAACACTGGATCCTACATTTACCATAATGTATCCATCCATCCATGCCCCCAGTTTATAACGCAACCCAGATAACATCATCCGGGGTTGTTTTCTCACAGAGCTCCTCCAACAACACAGAACATGTGATACAACAGACTCAGGAGTCCTGAGTCCTCCAGATTTGTCACCTGACCTTTATGAGTTAAATTTGTGGGCAAGTCCATCCATTTGAAGAAAAACGTTCTACTTAAATAAATCTGTTTTCTCTATACATAATTCCAGATCTATGCTGTTCACCCTCCACTGAAAGGACAGGGATGTTTTAGTGAAAAAGGTGGTTTGACGAGGCACAGCTCTCGTACGTCAAGCTCTGCGAGAGTCATGCCAAACTGCTTTCAAATATGTGAAAGTTAGCAGTTGATTTGCTTATTTGCAGAAGCACGCGCAAATACACATCAGATACATTTAGTTTACACATTAACAATGTTCCCTTGTAAAGGCGGCGTAGAAAATGTAATTAAGTCTTCAAACTATTTCAATACAATATATACATATTAATTTGCATGAATGATTGGTACTGGGACATTTGGGGAGTAACCTGTATTAAAGTAGAGACAACCGTTAAGTTCTTTAACGTTACTTGATCACATCGTCAGTATTAAATTGGCTATGCACTAAAACGTAAACGAAAAGATGATTAACGTATAATCGCTAACAGTTACTACCAAGCTACAGGCTAACATTACTGTCCAACACGTTTCTCATAACCGTGAAGATTAGCAACAGCAACTGTGCGTTAGCCGGCGCAGCTTTACCAGGTGCAACTGTACAAAGCTTTCAGTCTGCTGTTAGCTGAGTAACTATAAAGGGCTGCCTTTAGATGACCTGTGGAAGTTTAATCAGCTTGTCTTTCTTACCATTTCTGACAGGTATTGCTGACGTCGCCTGCTCTTCTTCTTCCTGTTGATCAATCCGGCTGACAAGATGTATCCGTGGGTCTCTGCTGCCCCCTATTGGTTGACCCACAAAACACACACAAAAGGATCACGAAGGTACTGCAACTTCTTGTAGTACAGACCATGCATGATCAGTGTTGGGGAGTAACTTGTAACATGTAATTTAGTTACGTAATTAAATTACAAAATAAATGTTAGTGTAATCCGTTACTGGTTACTGTAGTTAAGTTATAGTTACTTATGAAAATGTTCATGATTACACAGGGGGTTACATCTCAATATTTTCTGTAAAAAGCTAGGCTATATGTTGAATAATGTTTATTTTGTTGCTTTGCATGTTTTTCATGTGCATAATGTCTCAATGCTTTTGGTTCTCATTTGAATTTGCAGCGCCATCCATCTGCCAGCTAAATTGCCTCTCAAGCTGTCTTTTGAAAATGGTTAATAGTTAAACATTCATACAACAATTAGAAAAGTAATTAAAAAGCAATAAAATGTAAGAAGTTGCATTACTTTGATAAAGTAATTGCAACAGTTACACTGCTATTACATTTTAAACAGGGTAACTTGCAACCTATTACATTTCCAAAGTAACCTTCCCAATATTGTGCATGGTTAATTCATTAATTAGTTACATCTGATCTTCAATATGCAATTATGATAATATTTTTAAATAAAACAGTATATTGTTTTAATGTCCATGACATTTTTGCAGTTTTACCATCTGCAACTCCAGAAAAAGCTAGTAAGTCGACCTTAAGTAAAGTTTTTTTTTTTTTGTCAAACTAGATTAAATGCTCTTATACTGTATGTGGCGCACAGTGGTAGAATAGTTACATCAAATATGTATAAGGGGTCATGTAATCTCTAACAAATCCAACATCTAGTGTTATAATTGTTTATATCATTATATTTAATATTTCAAATAAATAAACACCAAATACAGAATGATTTAGATTCCAGGCTTTACCCTTTATTTGGTATGCACATTTTTCACATAATTCACTGCTCCTCCACACTGCAATTGTTTACATACACTTATTAATCAGACAGACCATCTAAACTCTTCATGTGATCTTTACATGTATTTCCCAGCATTTTAATACAAGAAAATATTTGTATTTGGAATTTTAAAAGTAAAGTAAGGCCAAGCTGAGCTGGAATTTAGTAAATTACAAAAGTTAAAATATTTTTTAGATTCTCTTCACCATAATCACCTTCCTATGCAAATAAAGTCAGTATCAGGAATCAAAAGAAAGAAAACTTTCAACTTTCAAAAAGAGCATTAATTTATAAATGTGATTAATAATTTCACAGGTTACACATGGTCCAAAAGTACAAAGGAAAGAATAAGTATTTCTAAAACAAATCACAGTAGCAGATTACACCAATTCACCAACACAAGTTTTCCCTTTACTGAAAGTATATTCCCACACCATTCACTGTAAATAATAATAAGATCCCTTCAGTCCCATCTCACAATACAATATTAGCTTTATGTATAATTCCGTGCAAATCTGTAAACCAGCCTGCTGGTCTGAAAGTAAAAAGAAAATATATTGGAGGGTTACATGTGCAACCATGGTTGTCTGAGTGGAACTCCTCACATTCTATATTTACAGGGACATAGGACATGTACATAGATACTGTAGATGTAACTATTTTTATAACCACGAAATGATAAATATTGACTGCTACTGAAAAAGACAGAGAATATCACATTTGTTTAAAGAACTGACCATGGGGGATTGGGAAATATTTTTATAGGCATATATACATTCCTGATTTTGTGCTGAAGTATGGATGGCAATCAAGACTCTGGTGTGAAGTGGAACTCCATGTGAACCATTAAACGGCAGTTATCCCCAGTATCCCCTCTGTTTGCCTACAATTGATCCCAGTATGTATGCAGTATTTAACCAGTTTTAACCAGGATTTGATGGACCTCACACAGAGAAAAAAAAAGGAACATTTTCAGTCAAACATGCATGGCCTGCATGCATATTGTGGTACATTCACATACACAGTACCATACACATACTACAGAAACACAAGCACAAGTGAGTCCTTGAGGGTGAGGTCTATTGTATATTGTCAGTCGTGGTACACCAGGGGCTTTATACTGCTGCAGCTGTGGAGCTGACCTCACTACAGCACCAGGCCTACAGTATCACTGTTAGCTCTATACACAAAGTGACAGGGACACAAATTGACAATGATATTGAATATAAGAATTTCTTGGTAATCTACTATGAGTAACAGTCCTGTAGTGTAATGTGACACCCTCACAAAATAAAATCCGCCTAAAAGTACAAAGTGCAATGAGTTCTGCCTCGAGTTAGTCTCTTTTGGTAAATAGTGTGCTGTGTGATTCCAGAATGTAGGCAGGGCAGCAGCAAATAAGAACCCAGTATTCTTCTTGGGTCCATTAATCTGAACCTCTCTCAGTGATAGTTGGCTAAATTAAGTTGACTTATTGACTTAAAATATCGCAAGCTGTGATTCTCAAGTGAATCAACAGTAAAATACAATCAATGAAATTGAAATATTGTACCTTAAAGCTGCACTTATGGCTTTTAAATATTAACATCGGATCAAACGACTTTGAGTAATGTTAAATTGGTCACTTGTAGTGACAAACCTACAGACATACAACTCTACAGAGCTTTTTAGCTTCTTCTAGCTCTTTGTTTTGGTTTTCCGGTCCACAGGCCATGCTCTCCTCAACCCCATTTCCAGCACCTGAAGTTTTCAGCTAAATCTGCTCTGATAATCCCACTGTAACAACTAGCAGGTGAACATAGAGGAGAATTTAGCTGCTTAATTTTTCTCAGGATTTGGAGGAGACCAAACCAGAGTAAAAAGGAGAGTGAATATTGGACTTTAATTCATCAGGTGAACATAAACACAACAAATGCTAATGTTGCTTTCTGTCTGCTGGGTGCGTAAATAGGCTGTTTGCTGTAAAAGTGTTAACATGTTAGCCGTAACACCCTCATAATGTGTGTCAATGTTGTGTTTACAGCTTGTTGTGCTGCTAAAATCAAGTTAGTTTACCAGAGCATAAGTATCGCAAGTGCAGAGATTGGGAGGTTACATATGGCCAGCCATATGAACACAGGCTATGACAGATTCACTAAAATACATTTTGTCCAATAACAATAGCATCGAAATTAAAAGAAATAAAGAAATCTAAAAACAGAACATGTTATACGTCATTTTAGACAACCGTACCACCTCCGTGTCTTTTTAGTGGTTTCAAACAATCCTCCTCAGAGAGTACACATGTGCAAAATAGTAGGATAAGTATGTATACTCAGTGAGCAAATAACATCAAAATATATTAAAAGGATAAAAGCTTCAATTCCAGGACCAGGCTGATTTTGACTCAGTCTGTCTGGAGGACGTCTGCCTCTGTAAGAGCCTTTGATAGCTCACGTGCTGCATTCAGTGAGTCCTTGTCAACTCGTAAAGTCAGAAAATGATCCCAAGATAAAATCATTTTTGACTTGTGTGGTCATCAGTCAGTGGTACATCCATCACATGAACTGGACCAGTGAAAAGCCTCTGTGGGATGTAACTGATGGACACAGACATACGGTAAACCCTTCTGTTTGTTCCCGTTAGCAGCCTGAAAATGATGATAATGATTACACGTGTTTATGCCTTGTGATGAGAAATATAAGTTATAAGAATATACTAATATTCCTGTTCCATGTGTTCTAGTGAAACACTGGGTTTCATGGTCTGATTTTACCGCTGGTATGTGCTGTCCTGTATTTTGTTAGTTGGTAATACCTCCTGGTAGTAAACGAGTTGAGAAGGCCATCCTGAATGAACCATTATTTCAGTGTTGCACTACAATTCCCACAATGCAGTAGTCGTTCAAGTAATCTGTGCAGTTAGCACTGGTCAAAGTTTCACTTGGTGCGTTTCAGACTGGTCCCTTTTCAGTAATGGACATAGTGAATCCCTGTACAGTGAATCGGGTTACAGACGAAGTCAGGGATTTATTGAAACTTAGGACACTGCTGAGTCAGTGACCTGCCTCAGTTCTAAGGCAATGCAGGAAACTGTCACACTAGCAATGTATCTCCTTTTAAAGTAATACACTCTACACCAGTAGTTGTAAAGATGCTTCCAGTTAATTTTGAAATTAAGTATTGTATACGTTATATGCAATGTGTATTGTTTCATGGAAAGAATAGCTGCAGCTAATAACATTAACCATAGGGAGGTCTGATTTTAGAGTGTTTTCCCAGCGGGCATTTTGACTAGTCATAGTAGGAAACACACAGGTGCTACTGATAACATCAATGATGGCTCTGTTATATTCAAGTCATAACAGTGTGACAGTGGTCCAGCATGAACACAAGGACCCTGCAACTGAAGCAGCTACATGGAATTTAGCCATCATTAATTTTATTATTTACACCTGTGATGTTCCTACTGTCAACTGTCAAAATGTCTTCTGTGAAAAAGATCTATTGCGCTTGACAAGTCTGTTTAAGGGGTCTACTGGAAGTGTAGTAATACCACTTCAAGTCAGTGAGGACAGTGAGCAAAGATACTGACTACTTTTTACAAATCATTCTGCAAATGTAGAAGATGAATTACTTCATGAACCTGCTGAACCAGAAACGGCTCTGACACACACCCAATGAAAAGGAAAAGATTCTTCTTAAATAGAACCCGGCACCTAAAGCCCAGAAAAAGGGGGGTTAAAACCAAATGGCTGCTTTGAAAGGATCGTGTCTGTCTCTGAGTTTCTACTTTTGACAGAAGTCTCAGGAGGAAATTAAGTCACTTAATACAATAGTAGTTCTCTCAAACTAAAATCTACGCACATGAATTAAAATAACATTAAAAGTACAATGTGTAAGAATTGAGACTACTACCACCTTAGTGGTCCTATTGAGTCCAGAATGGGCACCAAAACTGGGCAAGCAGGCAACCGAACCGAGTTCAGCAGCCTCCCGGTGATCATGGCCAGACCGGGACAGAACACAGCCTCCAAGACCAGCGGAGGTCAGTATGACGTCAGGGAATACAGTACCGAGGTGATTTACAATGGTTCTGACCAGGACTCTGGGGATGGCAAAGACTCTCAAGGGTTCAGGCAGGGAGGAACAAGCGAGCGAGAGGGAACAAGAGGCCCGTCCACTATTTAAGAAAATATGGTAATTGTGTGTTACACACCTAATTAAATAAACTAGAAAGGATAAATATCTATATCATATTAGTCTTATTTCAAGGCAAATCTGTACATATATACACATACACACTGGTAAATGGTCTGTACTTGTATAGTGCCTTTTTAGTCTTCTGACCAATCGTTTTACACTGCGTCCCATTCAATCATTCACACACATTCATTCACTGATGGCAGGGTAAGGTGCCAACTGCTCATCAGAACAGAAATTAACATTCACACACGTCAACGCCATCAGGAGCTATTTGGGGTTCAGTATCTTGCCGACATGCAGGTTGGGGGAGCCAGGGAATCGATCTTCCGATTAGCGGGCAACCCGCTTTACTTCCTGAGCCACACAGGGGTCCCACTGGGACCCTGTCCCAGAAACATGACCCAGTTGATGAAGGTGGAGACGTGTTGATGCATCTCTCAGTGAGTCTCGATGACCACTGGCTCAAAAATCCCAGACGCTCCTCTGTCAGAACACAGAAACACATGGTTGGTAAAAGGATACAGTGAATGAGTATACCTCGTGTTTAACAGCGTACCTGTTGGCTAGCTGTGTCCCACTGAGGGCAGTGGTCCCATCTTTGCTGACAAACAGTCTCAAGTTGCTGTCTGAAGGAAAAGAAGGAATCCTGTTACTACTGGGATAACAAGTGTGCTAAAACTAAATCCCAAAGCTGAAACTCTGCCCTGCCTTCATTGTTGCTGCTGTCAGAAAAGTTCTGACTCTGGACAATTTTCTCCACAATGTCATCTGCATCTATGCGGGTGTCATCCACACAGCTGTGCTGCCTCTCCATGGTGCCCTTCTTTCTCCTGTTGATGGGCAAGACAAACACCAGAGAGAAGATTCATATATCAAACACAGCAACACTCTGCAAGAAGTAAAGGTGCATAAAGGCTCTGCTTCATCCAGCAAATCATCATATCAAAGGATACGTTTGGTGACATTTTATATTTGTCTTATTGTCAAGAAATCCCATGGAAAGAACAAAACCAACAATGACTGTATCCTTCTAACTACTTGGTACTGTGTGTATCACAGCCTGATTTTATATATATATATATATATGAATCATCATTAGTTTCTTTTAATACCCAGTAATAAGTAATATTATTATTTTCTAAAGGAGTAATAAGTAAAAAGTAACTTATTACAATTCCAGTGTAAATTGCCCAACTCTTACTCTCCCTTTAACTTTGATTCAGACTTTTAGTAGGCGCTTGCTCATATTGTATGTTGAGAAGTGTAACATGACTCAAACCTGTCTGTATTCTTGTGTTTCTTGCCCCTTTGGACTTCTTTTCTAGTGAGGTGTACATTTGCTAACATTGTGGAATAGCAGCACTTTCACACAAAATCAAAACAAAACTCTTAACTCCGTTCCCTCTTCTTTGGGTGTAAATCCAATTGTAGTCGTGGAAGTTAAATAGATAAGGACTTCCTGGACTGGCAAAATTGGCACTGGATTATTTGCTCAGTACATCTGTCCCACCTGAGCAGGTGTTTTCAGCAGCTGGAACAGCTTCAGTGAACAAAGTCGATCATGTATTTTAAAGGGTAATGTTGGTATTTTTAAACCTGGGCCAAATTTTCACTTGTTTCGTATTCGTAATGACTAGTAGGTATAAAAAGTTTTGAAATCTGTGCAGTAGTTGTTTCAGCTGGCAGTGACAGCAACGAATTCCTTCGGGGTAATTAATCAAATCAAAATGCCGTCCACAAAAAGTGCTTCTTTTTTAAACCAGGTGTCTGACAACATCATGGTAAGGATCTCTGCGAGGGACTCCCAGTGACAGCCCTTGTTTTAACCAGAAACTTGTTGTGTACATCGCAGGGTTATGATGCAATTATCCGTCGCCGATGGCTGACTATTGAGATATCTAACTTGATATCGTTGAGTTTTGTTTTTTAATGTCAACATTGACGGCGCTAGTGAAAAATCAGGGGATGACTAAAGTCATTAGAACTAATCCTCAGGGTGCTGTGGTTATCTGTAGCAAATTTCATGGCAATCCATCCAATAGTTTAAGATATTTGGTATTGAACCACAAATGTCAACCTGATGGACGCACTAGATGAAAATTCAGTAAGCCTTATCCTCTCAGGAAAATGGCAATCCATGCCTCTGCATACTTGGGTTTTGCCACGACAAACCCAGCAGTTTAAAAGCTTTTTACTGAAAAAAAGCTTTTACTGAAAAACGAACAATAAGTAATTTTTCAATCATTGACTATTGATCTTTCACACGTCCAATAATCGATTACAGAAACTGATTGAAATTTGCATCTCTTAACTGATAGAACTAACAGCCAAAAGTACGAAAATAAAATCCGAGTTCTGCTTTAAACAACTAAAACTTATTCTTAAATGTTAATTTGACTGTAAATAGGAATGAGCATAAAAGCTTCATAAGTCCAGGTGTTGACATACACTGACACTCTATTATTTTGATAGTAGTTGCTCCATGACAACAGCAGATGAAGTGGTGAGGGTATGAAATTGTTCTACTCCTGTTCTTGTACCGGTTTACATTCAGTCTGAGGTCCTTCCATGCGACCAACAGAGCACGTCACACACTCTCCTCCTCTAAGAATGGGAAGAATTTCTGGCATGTAAGTTTGGCCCCAGACGTTTAACAGTGAGTCCAGACTTGTCTCACAGTGAGATCAGCTCATTGCAATCCTTGACTTTCTCAGCTATGAGTCAATGGAAAACATGCAGGAACAGGAGTGTTCTAAGCACAGGTGTGTGTGTGTGTGTGTGTGTGTGTGTGTGTGTGTGTGTGTGTCTACCTGGAGGATCTGTTGGTCATGAGGGCTGCTGCAGAGGGTGGAGGAGGTCTCTCTGGTTTGGTGGGAGTTGCTTGTCCATGTGGCTGGGTGGGGGTGGAGGGAGGGGGCTGTGAGGGTTGACCAATCCCACAGGAGACGCTGCTGCTGGAGGAGGCATTCCTATGGTGACTGAGGTCCGTCAGGCTGGAGCAGCGCGAGTGAGCTGTGCTGTAGCCTGGATAGGAGAGGAGAGGAGAGGACAGGAGATTAGGATGGACAAGAGTGAAGAGGGAAAGAATGAAAGGAGAGGAGAAAAGAGTGATGAGTAAAGTATACTGAATACCTTCAAAATTAACTTATTTTATAATGTACAAAAATGAGCTTTTTTTAGTTTTGTCTATCTTACATTGTGTGATCAGACGTTATCGAGTAGGCTACTTCACTCACTTTACATCAAAAGCACCTTGTCCGCGCAGTCACTGTGTCGTGCATGCGGTACATGTGTGCTAAACTTAAACAAGTAATAGCTGCAGAGAAATTCATGACTGAAGTTGAAAATGAGTGAACAAACGAAGCCAGGAGACACCACCAGCCTCACAGTCTACATCATTAGACTGAATTGCTGGACGTGGATCAGCCTCACTGACATGGAGGCGGTTTGGCTGCGAAAAGATGGATGTTGCTCCAAAGACGTCAATCTGCAAACTATGTTGAAAATCGGTTTCTGTTAAAGACCACAAAATAACCACCCCACAAAAGTCCACAACAGATCTGAACCAGCCAAGGTACCAGCACAGAAACACACTCCGGTTCAAACACTGCTCCACTGGTGACAGAATCAAAGTCATTACAACAACAGCTACGTCACAACTCGGGGCTAATATAGTGACAGATGAAATGGTTTATTCATACCTTTTGATGTCAGTAATACCGCCACTGCTGATTTCAGTATTTTTTTTTATTTTTGCATACCCCTAGTTTAAGGAGGGCTGCACAATAAAATAAAGTTGTTGGTAACACTTTCAGGTTACAGAAGTCCTTTAATCAGAGCATCACCCTAGTCTTAGCATGAGGAAGTAAAAACTACTGACCATGGTTGTAGCACGAGGAAGGAAAGCTCTCTGACCTGATATCTTGCTTTGCTGGCTGGCAATGCTGGAGCTGCGAAAATGACCAGTGTGAAAGACCTCATCTGGGCTGAACACACTCTCTCCCTCCTCAGGCAGCCCTGCAGAACACACACAGCAAACAGACACTGACACCTGACAGCAGGATATAAATCAGAGAGACTGTCTGGTCAAGTGTCACTTTATTTTATGACAGACAGTAGCGATAACAGGAAATGAGAGGAAAGAGAGATGGGGGAACGACGTACAACAAACAACAAACTGCTGGCATTTTTAGATCATCTCCTAGGGAACAGTAATTCTGAATAGTTACCTGAGCTACGTACTGACGACTGTCTGGGTTTGAAGGCACGAGGACCCTCCACCATGCCTCCTATTGGCTGAACTGTGGAATCAGTACTCTCACCCTTACAGTCCAGCTGCAGAGTGGGGTCCTCATCCCCAGTGGATACAGATTTGGCCGTGCTGGCAGGCCTGATGGTGAAAACAGGCACAAATCTTTATTTACAAAAAGTCACCACAGTCACATTCACCTGTTTTTATGCGTGGTTCAGTCTGAGAAAAACAAAAAAAGAAGAGAGAAAACAAAGAGCTGAGGTTGTCAAACTGTGCGGTGTTTCCCTAGGGGAAAACGGAAGTGTTGAAAGGGAGTGGGGGGGGGGGGGGCAGTTAAGGTACTTAAAACCCTTGGTAACCAACTGGTACAATTTATATTATACTTCTTGTCTCTAGTTTAAAAACTTACAGCATGATTATCCTCCAAATCAAAGTAAGACCATAATCACCATAAACATAATCCATTGATATTAACTTTTTTGGGGTGGACTATCAATTTTTATTTTTACTTTACTAAGGCTCAAAAAGTCCTACACACATGCTTGTTGTGTTCCTGGACACTTTCCTCTATTCATATACAGATATTAGCCCTGTGTTGAAAACGCCTGACGAGGTAGACAGGGGATTTTATATTTCCATTTAATCATTTGGCAAACGCTTTTATCTACAACGACTTACATTTGAGGAACAAAATACAAGCATCAACTAAGTATCAATACAGCATGATATCTACAAGTGACAATAGATACTAGTAAGAGCAGCAATAAATACTAATAAGAGCTAATAGCACGTATGTACGGAAGCCCTAAGCGGCCATCGATTATCTCGTGATCTCGGGATGATTTTCCCGTGATCTTGAGATAACAAAACAGTAGTTTAACACATTGGCAAGGACGTATCTTAATGGTAATTTCAAGATGGTTTTAGTGTCACTGATTAGCTCAGTTGTAAAGGTATGATTGAAGGTGGCGATTGGTCCACATTCATCAACCTACCAAGCAGAGGAAATTCATCCGCTTCTCATTCAGGGGAATCCATTTAACTACACATTTCCTGACGGCTATTTCAGAACCTTTGAAATAGCCGTCGAGAAATGTGTGATTGGATTCCCCTGAATCTCTTCATAACAACTTTGTTGAAGAGAAGAAGAAAAAACACATAAAAGAAGAAGAAAAAACTTGCAGAGAGCAAAGGTTGAATCTGCAACCCTTGGGATGCAAGTCCTGTTGTCTACCAAATGAGCTAACAACTGACTCAGCAAACTGCCACGAAATTATTGTAAGAAAACCTGCGACTCCTGTATTCAGCTATGGTTTGTTATCTCGAGATCACGAGAAAACAACAGTCATTATCTTGAGATCATGAGATAATTATCCCGTTATCACGGGAAAACAGAGTAAAAAAAATATCTGAATCGATGGCCATTTAGGGCTTCCGTACATATGGCATCAATGGAAAAGAAGTAGTAGTTAAAAAAAAAGGGAAATCAATACAAGATAATTGTAGGGGATAGAAGAAGAAGAGCACAGGAAGTGCATGTTAGAGGTTAGGAGTTAGAGGTGTTATAAGAGAAAGTGTTCTCGGAAGAGGTGAGTTTTCAAGAGCTTCTTGAAGTTAGAGAGGGACGCCCCTGCTCTGATGGCCTGTGGTAGCTCGTTCCACCATTGTGGTGTAACAGATGAGAACAGGGACTGAGAATGCTTTGTGTGTAGGGATGGCAGGGATGGAGTTTAGGTCGATGGGTGCAGACCCAGTAGTAAAAGAGTGACATGAGTCCGTTTGGACTGTACCAAAAGCTGAGCAAGGTAGAGCCTTATTTTTCTTATGTTGTATAGAGCAAAGAGACAGCAGCAACATGGTCTGAAAAGGACAGCTGGTCATCAATAATGACACCTAAGTTGGACGGGTGCAGTTTCAATTTTGTCTTAGGGGTGTAAGACACTGAATACCCCTGACACAGAGGAACTCACGTTTTAAAGCAGGGATCCCCAGACAGAAGAGTCATCCCAATTGTTACCTATAAAAAAAAAAAACACGTTACTAAACCTCAGTGCTGATCTGTGTGTATGTGTGTGTGTGTGTGTGTGTGTGTGTGTGTGTGTGTGTGTGTGTGTGTGTGTGTATTTGTATTTGTCCTGCCTTGAGGATTGAGTTGTCCTGTCGAGTGTTTTTGGTGTCATAACCCTCCAGGATGCAGCAGCGAACTGTTGAGCCCGAACCAGCGAACTCTGCAATGTTGAGATCAGCAAAACCTAGCTGGAGACAGACAGACAGACTGAAAGAGAAACCACTGAAGGTGCAAAGTGGAAAGTTATATACTGATTTAGAATGAAGTCTAGGTCAAGTCTGGTCCACTTCTTTTTATTTTGTTCCCTTCACAGATCTGAGTCAGCAGCAACAGTTCTTCTTCCTATGAGATGTTTTAACATCCTTTTCATTAAGATCTTTTTTGTTCTGTCAAAATACTCTGTGGACATTGAGTTAAGATTTTCTTTGTCAAACTAAAGTTTCCAAGGTCAAGAATGAACTTTCCCACTGTGGTGGTGACAGCAGTGTTTTTTCTACTTCCTGTTGTGACCCCTGTAAATTTATCTTGCTTATCTTGTGATGTTGACATGGTTGGTATTAAAAACAGCTTTTACCATCACAAACACTGTAACAGTCTGTCAAAACAGAGCCTGGAGCACACTGAGATGTGTTTGTGAAAAGAAGTAAAGAAGAATCTGATAAAATGTTTAGTTTAGTAACACTTCTGACTGTTGCTTCAACTCGGGAACGAGCCACCTCCAGTAGTACTCAGATGACTCCTCCCTCGTCGGCTGTACAGAGTACAGAGACCAGATTTAGAGCTTCATTGGTGCGACAGCAACCACCTCCAGCTCAACACAGGAAAAACCAAGGAGGTGGTTATGGACTTCCGGGGGTGGAAGAGGCCCCACACCCGTCGTAATAAGGAGGGAGGGGGTAGAGATGGTGGACACCTACAAGTCTCGGCGTGCAACTAAACAACAAACTGGACTGGCCAGACAACACGAGGACCTCTACAGGAAAAGACAGAGCAGGCTGTTCTTCCTGAGGAGGCTCAACGTGTGCACCAGGCTGCTACAGGTGTTCTACCAGTCTGTAGTGGCCAGTGTCATCTTCTTCGCTGTGGTGTGCTGGGGAGGTGGCATCGGGACTTGTGAAACTGAGCAAGCTGGTGAGGCAGGCCAGCTCAGTGGTGGGGATGGAACTGAACAGTGTTCAGACAGTGACTGAGAGGAGGATGAGAGGGAAGCTGAAAACCATCATGGACAAACCCCTCTCATCCTCTCTATGCTGAGCTGAGGCAGCTCAGTAGCTCCTTCAGCCACAGACTCATCCAGCCCTGAGCCTCAAAGCGTTTTGGTGGCTCATTGGTTCTCATTGGTTTGGTGCCATCAGTCCACAACACTACAGCACCAAACTGACAGACTATTCTTGACTCTATTCTGAATGTATCAGATTGTACATTATTAATTTCCCCTACAGGGAAGGAATATTCTCTCTTATCGTACTTCTAAAAGCTGAGAGTAATCATCCAAAATAGCTCAACAACAATATTTCAACTGGAAAAATTTTGAGACTGTGCAGAAACTGCAGTAGTGTCACAGAGTTCCAGTGTAAAGCTGTTGAAATTAATATCTCTTCCGCCAAACAGAGGACCCTACATACAGATTCTTGTGAGTTAAAAAAAAACTAGGGCTTTCTCTGGAGATCACTTTCTCCACTGAGTCTTCTCCCCTGGCAGGCAGGCTCAAAAACATTATCCTGCTAGTAGTCATCATACCAGGCTCATGAATTTTCTAAATTTTCATTTTCAGTGAACAGATTAGCTGTATAATTTGAGAAAGTGAGTTTGTGGGCAGGCTGCCATCTTTTTTCTGTTTTCAAGCAGGAACAGCACTGTGTCACTCAGTGCCAAGGCTTCTCAATTATGACAAAAACAATAAACACAATTATTTTAGACAATATTGACATCACTATTATTTAACATGATTATTCATTGACTTAGGAAACATCATCCATTCATCACAATCATCCTCTAGTCACTTGTCACAACCTGTGCTGTGGCTCTGCAGAGTATTTGTTTCCTCTCCCCTCTTGTCTGTCAGCGTGGGTGTGTTTTGGGGCGTGGTGGTGATCAGGACATCTGATGGAGCTGCACATCGGTTTCCTATCTCCTCACCACCCAGTGTATATAAGACACCAGGCATCCAGTGATTGGTGCCAGATTATTCAGTACCAAACCACGGCCGTGTATTCAGGCCAAGTAAGCCAATAGGTTCTAGTGTTTCTAGTTTTGTCGCTTGCTCGTCTTACTAGTAACTTCATAGTGTTTTTCTCTTCTTTAAGATTCTCGTGTCACGCCGGAGTTTTCAATTTTCCTGCATAGACACAAGCTACTTTGGAAATCAGATCTCTTCAGTTCTAACCTACCTGCCCCTTGCCAAGCCTTGGGGGGTTAGCAGGTGACAGGTTCATTACAACTCGTTATGTTACATAATGCTGAAAATCAACCGTGTTCTATTAGGAGACACAGATCCTTAAAACGATGAGCAGGAAAACTATTAATCAGTATAAATAATGTCATTTTTAAGCTATGAGTAGAGGAAAAGATTGCTAGGCTTCAGGGGCGAGAGTCACCGCTCTAAAGGATTTATAAAACACTGAGCATCATTGCAAAACAGAATGCAGCACAATAATTGTTTTATCAATTGTTTTCATAATTGTTGTAAGCCAAATTCATAACTGAAAATCAAATTAGAAAAACCAAGCCAAGCCCCACTCAGCGCTCCTCCACCCATATTTTTGCTCTGATTGGTTATCGGTCTATCCAACTGCATCCAGAGGCATTGTGGTTAGCACCCTGTACCTCTGCCTTACTGCCTGACCTTTTGGATTTTCTGATCAGTCTGCCCACTGTTTCTGCTTCTGCCTTGTCCATTGTTGACTTTTTTTAAATCTTGACTTTTTGTCATTAAAACTCTCTGAAGAGACTTCTGTGTTGTCTGCTTCTGAGTCCTCTCCACGCTGTCTGACATTCACACTCTTAACTCAGTGGAGCCTTTTGGCCTAAATGAAGAACTCTAATTTGTCATGTTTTCTCGAAGTTATCTGTAGTTCCTGTAATTCTATCTGTGTAGCTTTAAGATTTGGCTGTGTTTTTTGTTTCTGATGTGATCCTGTGAGTATATGGGGTGTGGCCCATCCATAATCCTGTTTTATTGTAAAAGTCTGTTTTATAAAGCAAGCAGGGCACTCTCAATGTTATGAGTTCAAAGGTGAAACTGGTTAGCTAAACTGGGCTGAGCTGCATTAAAGAGGATTTTTCTTGTCTTTGATGTATTTTACTGGTTGCTAATCACATCATCATCAGAAAACAAACTTACCTTTGAGAAGGTCTTTCCTCCTTTGAGCTCCTGCAAAGATAAAGCAAAACAGTGAAGGATCACACACTGCTGCCGGTCAGGCTGCTAACACCATCTCTCTCACCATCATCACATCATATGGAACCAAAATGGAACCTGCCGTTCCAACCCTGGGACAGGTGCCGTGGGACAAACCAGGTATACTTTACATTACTCTCATCAAGCATCATAACCCAGAGAAGCAAGGAGAGGTGGCTGCTGGGAATTGTGGTTTTACCTTGCGTATAGAGACCCTGCAGATACAGGGGTCTAATACTCCAGTGATTGAATTAGCACTCATTTTACACACGAAAGAGAACTTCTTCCTCCAGCGAACACAGTTCTGCTGCACTTCCTCCCTGCGCACACACACACAAAGCAGACAGTTTAGGCAAGGCAAGTTTATTTGTATAGCACATTTCAAAAACTAGGCAAGTCAAAGTCAAAACATAAAGCAACATAGGGCAGTATAAAATACATTTAAATAAATTAGAACGAGTTAAACAGAAAATAAGAACAAGATTAAAGAGGAGAGTAGAAGGTTCAGTGGTGTGATCTATTAATCAAAAGCCTTAAATTTCATTTAATTAAAGGCCCTCAGCCTTGATTTAAAAGAGCTTAGAGTTTGAGCAAATCTGCTGTTTTCTGCTTCTCCAGGTTTAGTTTTGACTCTGGGAACAGAAAGCAGACCTGCCCCATGAGGACCTGAGAGGTCTGGATGGTTTATAACGCAGCATAAGTGTATTTTGGCCCTAAACTGTTCAGTGCTCTATAAAGCAACTGCACTATTTTGAAATCAGTTCTGACAGACAGGAAGCCAGTGTAAAGACCTCAGGAGTGATTTGATTCCCATTTTTGGTCTTAGTGAGGACTCGAGCAGCAGCGTTATGAATCAGCTGCAGCTGTCTGATCCATTTTTTTAGGAAGCCCTGTAAAGGCACCAAAATAAATGCATGAACACGTTTCTACAGGTCCTGCTGAGACATAAGGCCTTTAATCCTTGATATATTCTCCAGGTGACAGTAAGCAGACTTTCTAACTCTCTTAATGTGGCTGTAGTTTGAATCCATGACTACAGCAAGATTTTTGTGGATTTTAACATTACAGACTGAAGCCTTGAATGGAGCTTTAGGGAAAGTAGTTGTACCTGTTATTTAAGTAGGATTCAAACCGGTTTAGTACTGTGCCCAAACTGTCCCACCCAGTTTTTCATGTTAAATGCAGCACTGTGATCCAATAATACCAAGAGTGAGATTCTGCGTCAAAATGGAGAAGGCTGCAGGAAAATTTAAGAAAAGAGCAACGAAAGCCATGAGAGGGGTGAAATACATCGGTACAGCTACTGATGGCTGCAGTTTAAGAAGACGCAGCTTCATAGGTGTGACAACACACTGGATTGACCCAGGAGATCTACACGATGTTCTGCAGCACCAGCTCTCAGTTAAAGGATCGCACACGTTAGACATTCTGGACACTGCAGTGCACAACATGCTAACTCAAGATCCCTTAAAAAGCTGTCTGATGAGGAGGAGGAAAAGTGAGGAGCTTGAATATCACATGCTAACCTGCAGCACGCCGTACAACTCTCTGCCTACTGAACTTAGACACACCGAGTCTGCCTCTTTTATTATCTCTTCTTAAAACTTTTCTCTTTGTGAAAGCATTTGTAAATGTTTGATATATGTTATTATTGTTTTTACTGTTTTTATTTTCCGATTTTCTTATTATTCTCTTTACTTACTCACTTTGTGACATTGTTAAGAAACGTGCTATATAAATCCATCCATCCATCCATCGTCAACCGCTTATCCTGCGTACAGGGTCGCGGGGGGCTGGAACCAATCAAGGTGTACCTGTCCATCGCATAGACAAACAACCACTCACACTCACATTCACACCTAAGGACAATTTAGGGTCACCAATCAACCTAGGCCACATGTCTTTGGATGTTGGGAGGAAGCCAGAGCACCCGGAGAGTTATTATTATTATATATACATAAGGATGATCTTGAATTTCAGTTGTTCAAGCATTAGCATTGTGCTTGCCATCTTTTGAACTTGTTTTCCACTGGGGATATCGAATCTCCTCCCTCAGATGAAACATACAAAAGTTGTCAAGATCATCCTTCAGCAAATATTGGACCCCGTGGAACAGGAGTGGCTGGTTCACCACAGCCGCAGAGAAGGTGGAAGAGAAATGCAGTGTGCAGTTCATTCCTCCAAACGCCACACTGTGGAACTAGTTCTTTCTTTCAGTGGAGAGGATCATGGAGAACATGAACACAAGAGCGAGGGTGCTATCAGGAACCTCTGTGTAGCATTGATCCACAGGTAAGTAATATATATATTTTTTTATAAAAAAACGCAATGATGCCATTTTCTTTAAAGCTGCTCTTAGAGAATTTTTTATTCTTTTACCATCAGCAAAGGTGGTAACATTGGTATGGCATCACAAGCTGTAGTAGAATGGCCATCAGTCGCCTTGGGATGGCTATTCTACTATGTCAGATTAAACTAATCTATAATCTATAATGCAAAGTGATCAACTCTCCTATGATGAAACATTTCTATCCTGATGGGAGTGGAGTCACACAAAAAAAAAGTAATCAATTACTGCAAAATAGAGATTCTATTGTTTTAATCAAAAGTTTGCTGTTTCACAGGTGCAATCCTGCTGTGGTCCCTCTCGCCAAAGAAATCAACATCTTGCAGCGAGACACTAACATTCGCATGTTCTGGCTTGTACCAACACTGAACACCATGGTCTCAAACTTCAACGAGTCAAGACATCCATGAAGCTCTGCAAGCCCCTGGTGGATGCAATCCTAGTGGATGTAAACAAGCGCTTCGGGGGCATGCTCAAAGATCCTGAGCAGATTGCGGTTTTGCATATCACACTATATTAAGAGCAGTCAAACACTAAGTAGCCCAGATAAAGGATTCAGATACATTTTATTACACATTCATTTCATACTTTAGAGTTGAACATTCAGAAGGAATCCTACAAATGAGGGTTCTAGGTGTGTGTGATTTTTCAGTAATTGCATAACGTAATTGAGATTAAAAACAGAATTAGTAGTATATATCATCTCTACATTTTTAACCAAAAAAAAGGTTCTGTTTAAGTAACTCTGAATTGTTGTGGTAATATTACTAAATGTTTGTATTATTTTATATTACACTTACATATTACACTTCATCAGAGAAAGATGATTTCTTCAAGACATTGAAGTTGTCTCATTTTGAAGTTGCCCCAAACCTACTTGATGGCTATCTGGCGTGTGCTGGTGAAGACATGGGTGTCCTGAAAACCCCCCAACCTTTGTTGAAGATGTCATGAAGGCTCAACACTCGCCTACCTGCATCCGCTGCTTGCGAGTGGATTTTAAACACCCCTGACCTAATTTTCAGTCCAAGGAGAGCTAGAATGCATTGTAGAAATTTTGGGGTACCTCAGGCCACAGTAAGCTCAGACTATTTAATTTCACGTATCTGTTTTAATGAGGAGACATTTTTGAAGAATACTGTTTTGAGGGATACTTTCCAAGCATTGAGCCTGGTCCTGGTGTCACCCTTTTAAGAGTAAATGCTGCATTCAGGGATGTGTAAGAGCAGTTGTGTGGATCTTGATTTGATGCAATATTGAGGCATTCTATGTTTGGCCTGTAAAATCTTTAACTTGTTTGGACTGTCCAGCTTTGCTGAACAGAGGGACATAATTAATTTTCGGTTTTCCTTTTTACAAGTGTATTCTTTTCTTTTTTAGATTTATTTTTTTAAGTACATGTTTGTCTCATTTACTTGCTGATGGATAAATTTAACACAATTGCTCTCCTCACTGTTTATTCTTTTTCACGGACATGTCTCTTTGGTGGTGTGATGGAAAGATATGTTTTGCCGTTGTTCAATAATTTACCGTGTTTACTATGTTACTGTTGTAAAAGGGAATTCTCCATTTCTAGAGTTGAAAGCTGTGTTAGATATTTCTTATCTGATGCCCTTGACTGGAGTAGGGGGGGGGTCCTTGGTTCAGTCATGGGTCATTGGGTTGTGACACTAGGTTTCCTCAGTCTGCCTGAGGCACCTGTATAATTATTTAGCCTCACAGAGGATACATAGCCTGCCACACAAGTGCTCTTGGTCTTACACCCTACAGACTGGTTGCACTCTGTATGTATTACCTTCTTTGTAAAGAATAAAACACTTAAAGATGTCCTGGTTGAAATTCCAGAACAGTGGTATGAAGTGCATGTTCTGGAGAACATAATGTAGTATCTTTGAGCCTACATTCAATTAAAGCTACATACTAAACTAAAAATAATTTGATATTCTTTACACCTCTGACTGAAGGAAACCTAGATGCTTCCTGTAACTCTTCAGCAATTAGCAAAACTACATATATCTTTAAGTGAAATGTTAAGTTAAAGGCATTTTGTGTAAGCGACCATAGATTCTGTATATAGTATTGTCAATGTCTTGCTTCACTTGCAATAGGATTATCAGAGCCAACAGTGAATGGTGCAGTGTTTCCTGTAGGATTGTTTTCAGCAATAGTCACACTTCACAAAACAAGTAAACTTCAGTGTTTCCCGTAGGATGGAGTTGTAGCAGCGGAGGTGAAGCTAAATTTTTGTCAGAATATAAAACCCCAACACAACGTGTCTCAGCAACATTGCTCTTGTGTCCATGAGCATGCCATGCACCTTAGAATAGCTTAAAACTGTAGTGTTTTCCCAGTTTAATGTGGGCTTTAGATGAATCTTTTGGTGTTGGTTGGGGGGTTTGGGGGTACTCCCCCAAGATTGTTTTCCAATTAAAAATAAGTAATTTCACATCATCTTGGGCCATTATTTTCACCATATCTCTGAACAAATAGTTGGAAAAGCTGGAGCAGATAATAAATAACCAACAGTCAAAGATCAGTCGACTGGGGAGGAACTACAACCTTTAGATCTGCATGTTTTGGGCATCAACCCCTAAAACCCTGTTAATATGACCTCAGGAATCATTATAGACATGATTGTTCATGTGGCCTTTTGTGTCTTCATTTTACAGCTTCTGACATTTATCTGTAGACATTAATATTAAAAGAAATAGGCAACATGAGAAACCTCCTCCCTTCTGAGGTGCATTTTATTTGCACATTAAAATCCAAAAAGAAACGTCTCCTCATCAGCTTATAAGGACTAGTTTGCTTCACTAATTAGCTTTACTAACCTCAGCTCCTCCAGTCACCTCAGCTCCCTCCTTCTTTTCCAAAACCACTTTTTCAGACTGAAAAATAATTGAACCAGTCTGTACAGGACAGAGCTGCAGGCTACATCAGTTTAGTCTAAGTTTGTACCTGATGTTCTCAACA